TGCTGGCGGTGTGCCTCATGTTCCGCATTTCTTCGCGCGCGACCGTTGCGAAGGGTCGGGTCCTCGGAAGAAGACTTGGACTTGGAGCTCGTGAACATAGACCAGAGGGAGAAACGGCGACGGCGAGCGTTGGTGCTCGAGTCTGCGCGTTCGGAGGAGCGGCGCGTGTCGGAGTTGGCACCGGCGGTGTCACCATCGTCGTAGTAGTCGTGGTGGTCGTCGTATCCGCCGCGCGCAGGTTCGACGTTGCGCGGGAAGGAAGAGGACAAGGGCGATGGGGTGAAGCTGAGCATGGTGCGACCCCAATGGACGCTTGCCTGAATGTTCCTCCGCGCCTGGCCGGCGGCCTGGCCGACCGACCTGCTCCTTGCGCTGAGGTCGTCCCACACGGTGAGGACGTAGCTGAGCATGACAAACGCGACAAGGCTGACGAGTGCGACGGACGAAATACTCGCCGCAAGCCAGAAGTGCAGTAGTGGCTTGAGCGGCGTGGAGATCTGCCGAGTGAGTGTTTTGGCGAGTTGGCCTGTGTTCATCAGCTGGTGGTGCGCGACATCCAGGCGGCGCAGTACAGCGAGGTCTGCGCCAATGCCAATGGTGCTGCTCATCGAGGAGCGGGAGCGAGGCTGTGCAAAGTCGTACTCGCCGCCGCCGAGGCCGAACGCGTCAGCCAAGGAAGGGGCCCCGCCGTAAAAAGACTGCCTGCGCGAGCCCGGAGCAGACATGGACACTGGAGGATGCTGGCCGGCACGCCTGTGCTTGCGCGCCTTGCGCAGTTCCGCCTGCTGGCGCTCGAATGCGTTCGTAAAGTCATTCGGCGAGCCGGACGCAGACACCGGCGGCGAAACGCGAGTACTGCGCGGGAACGTGCCATACATGGCGCCTGTACCCCGGCCGCTGCCACTGCCGCCGCCGCCATCGCCTTCTTTGGCGCTCAGGCTGACGGTCCGCGGGCGCTGCGACTGCGTAAACGCCGAGGCCATCGTCGTCGCCGCAGTACAGGCGGGAATCTGGGAGTTGCTGCCAAACGCGACACCGTTACAATGAGCCTGGGAGCGGAAGTTGTGTTGCTGTGACGGATGGCGTGCGTCGGCGGCAGACGAAACCGAGTACATGGAATCTGCGCGCGCTTTCGTTCGCACGGACGTCTGCATCGTCGTCCTTGCCGTCGTCGTCTTTGTGGACCACCAAGACGTCGCCGCGCTGGACGGCTGCATACCGTCATGGTCGCCGTCGTCGTCGCCGCCGATGGCGACGGGGCCAAAGTGGGCCAGAGCGCTGAGCAGCTGCTCTCGCTCGCGGTCCTCGTCTCCAGAGCTGGTATCGGGCGTGTTGAAGCGTGCGGGACTAGCAGGCGAGCCGGCCGGGAAAGCCAAGGTCGACGCGCAAGGAGATCCGACAGAGGTGCGGGGGGCGGAACCAGGCACTGGTGACGGCCAGTGGAAAAAGCTACCGTCGTCTGAGACGATGCGCACCCTGCGCCCGCTCGTGTGCCGGTCAAAGCGGCCAGTGTACGCGATGTCGAGTGAGTGCCATTCGCGCTCGCGCTTACACCCTGAAGACGGCTCACCCGCCGCTGCGACCGAGCGAGTTCTGAAGGAGCGCTTGAAGTGCGCTGCGGCGATCGCGGTGGCGTCGGCCGTTTCGGCAGGCGCAGGGAGCGAAAGCGGCTCGACAGCGAGGATGATGCTTCGCGATGGCGGCACGTTGGCCGTGGCCGACGACGCTCGCTGCACAGGGGGTCCTTTCGTGCGATGGCGTTGCTGATCCACCGCCGCCGTCGGCGCAGAATCATCTGTGTCCTTCGCAGCAGCAATAGCGAGCGCCGCCTCTTGCCCCTGATCCCGCTCCCGCCCCTCCACGGTGCCCTCGTCCATCGTCTCACCAGCGCCTTTCTTGAGCTCCTTCTTACCGCCCCCCTTTTCCTTCTTGCCCGCAGCGGTAGCAGCATGCGCGAGCTGCTGGGCCTGCACGCTCTTAGCGGACAGGTGCTTCGCGGCGGCCATGGCACTCTTGCAGATGTCGTTGCGCGTCGGCGGCAGGAACTCGCCCGTTTGCCAGCCGCGGTCGCCGACCGTGCCTGCACCCGCGCCGTCATCGAGCGCTGGGCCTAAAGAGAAAGCGGTGATGCCCAAGCCCGTCTGGCTGCCCGAAGTCGCAGGCGAGTACGGCACAGCGGCGCTGTCGAGCGCCTCGTACATTGCGGCGCTGGCCGTGTGCATACTGTCGCTCAGCAGGTGCGCGGCGCGGACGGTGCTCCTGCTGCGCACGCGCCTCGCGGAAGACGAGCGCATGCGGCACAGCTCGCTGCTACCGGTGCAGCTGGACGCGTGCGGCGATGGCGGGAGGCTCATCGCTGCTGCTGCTACTCGCCGTGGCGTGGACGTGGAGCGCTCGGCGCCAGATGGGTCCGTATCAGCGGGCGACAGGGGCGGCCGGCTGCTGGATCTTTCGCCACGGACATAGGCAAAGATCCCGCTCGTGTCGAGGTACTCCTCGGGTGCGAGTGAGTACACTTTGGCCGTCGCAGTCCGACTGGCCATCCCGCGGCTGCCGCTGCTGGCGTGCGACAGTGCGGATGTCGACGCCGAAGCGGACATCGCAGCGCCCGCGCGTCCAGACATTTTGAGGCGCTCAGCCAGGTGCGATGGCCCGAGCACGGACTCCCACCACTCGGTCGTCGAGGAGGAGGAGGGAGCGGCGTCGTCCGCCTGTTTCTTCTTTACGCGCGCAGAGGAGCAAGACGCATGCGCCGGCTCAACCGTCTTGCCGCTGCTGCCAGTCCCCGTCGTGCCGAGTGTTGAGGAGGAGGGTGACGAGAGGCCGTGGGAAGAGGAACCGGAGCTGGCGCTTATGGTCTTTTGCTTCTTGTTGGTGCTGCTGCCGCGTGTCGAAGGTGACCAAGTTGCCAGCGACCAGACAGCTTCCGGGTGCTGCTGCTCATCTGCCTCTGTTCTGGCTTTGGCTTTGCCCTTTGCCTTACTACTTGGGGTGGAGCCCTCGTCAAGCTGCTCCAGAGGAGATGGCGCCCAGTCACGCGACATGAGGCGTGTCTGCGAGCTGATGCTCTGCCGAGGACTTGTTGGCGCCGTGCTGACTGCGCTCCGGCTTCCGTTGGCGACGGGGATATAGCCTGTGGGCGAGTGGGCGCCACTTCCGCTGCCGCCCGAAGTGCTGTCTTGTCCCCCGAGGTCCGTCGTAGACGCATGGTGGGGTAAGAAGAGACCGCTTCCGATCCCTCCCCGACTACCGGCGCCGGTGGAGGGTACTCCGGAAGTGGGGTTGGCGGCAGCGGTGCTGCTGCTGCTGCTGTAGAAGCGCGGAAAACCAAAGCTGGAGCCCAGATCGGAGATCATGGAAGAGGAGGTGGAAAAGGACGAGGAGGAGGATGCTGTCGTGGCGAACGAGTGGATCGAAGCGAGGTCATCCCTGTCCGGAGTCGACGATGGTCCAAGGTGGTTGTGCGGGTCTGAATGAAAGAGAGAGAGAAGGAAGGAAGAAGAAGAGGCGATGGAGTGAGCACATTGACGTCGACGTTGTGTGTGTGAGAGCAAGCAAGAAATGGACGACGCACCCATCTTTGCAAATTCTCGCCTGGCCACGCCGCTTGAACCGTTTGTCGTCTGCCTTGAGACTGCTGTTTGCACAAGCGTCTAGTCTCCTTCACGCGCAGGTGCTGGGTCTACCGTGCGCGCACGGATCCTTGGGTCAAACCCGGTGCGTGCACGTCAGCTAAAGCGGATTGGAGGCGAGACTGGCTATGCAGAGCGACGACGGGGGCTGGCTGACATGCGTGCGAATTGAGCTAGCGATGGTGACGGTGGCCGTGGCCGTGGTGAATATCAAAGTCGAGCCTCTCGGCGAGGTCAATGGACAAGTGTGTACGGGCAGCAGCAGCAGCATGTATGTATGCATACATACATGCACATGTGCCGTGCGCTACAGGCGCCGATGACGCTCCTGTCTGCACGCTGCCCCACGTTTTCACGCCGTGTTAAAAGGAGAAGAGGAGATTTGCTCGGCCCGTTTAATGATTTGTCGCTGGCCGGCCGTGGGTCTGCACCTGTACGCAATGAGAGCGGGGCACCGGACGGAGTAGAGTGGAACGAAAATGAAAGGTGTGTTTGCAGTCTGTATGTTGTTCATCTATGAGAGGTGCGTCCGACAATGCAAAAGTGGTACAAAGAGATGGGCTATGGATAGATTCATAAAGGATGCATAGATAGATAGCAATTAGTGGTGTGGTGTGTGTGCAGTGTAGTGCGAGAGCAAGAGACGACCCGCTCGCTCGCCCGCCCGCTTTCAGATTCTCACATGTGCATCCAATGCCTGTATGTATGATACATACTTTATATATATATCAGTGTCGGTGTGGTGAAAGTCTGACATACGGATGGACACTCTTCCACAGCGCCGCCCAACCGGCTGCGTTCTGGATCGGATCGGAACTGGTCGGAGTGGTGGCGAAAGGGGAAGAGGGGGCGCGCGTGAATGCGCGTGCGTAGTCCCTTCTTTTCTTCTGATAGCAGCCGCGATCGGCCAATTTAGACGCACACGCACTCTCTCACACTCTCTCTCACGCACACATTTGACACTCTCACACCGTCCTCACCGTCATTATTCATCAGCCAAACAGAAGAGAAACTCTCCCCTCGGGTCCCGGGACTCCCCTGATGGACCCTGGCCTGGGTTTGGGCATCGACCCGGTTTGATGGTATACATATGTACATAGATCAGACACATGCGTGTGTACACCAAAGAATCAGGCATGCACGCGCAGCGAGCGATTAGACTCTGCTCTATGCTCGTGCAGTATCAATGATGCACATGCGACACCCCACTCCCGACATCATGCCACGCACGTGCCAATAGCCAACCGCCAGGTGAACGGGTACAGATGTACACATGACCACCCGCACCCTGCCCCTGTGGATTCCATTTGCAGTTTGGATTCTGGCGCGCGGGCCTCGCGCCGCCAGCTTCGGGGCGCCGTCGCGCGATGGCTGGGCTCAGCGTTGTGCGCGGAGGCCTCCACTGCTAAGCGGTTACTGACCAGCAGATTCGGGGCAGCTTTTCCGATGGTCTTGGCCACGGTAGCTGGGCTACTCGAAGCGCCGACCTGCTTGACGCTCTGCGCCAGCGCACCAGGAAGGCGGTCAAGTCCGCTGCTGCCTATTCGGTCGACAGCAGCGGCAACAGCCCCCGTTGGGACTATGGGCATTTTGCGGCATTCGGGCTTCTTGACCGCCTTATCGATCACGGACGAGTTGGTATTGTTGTTGTGCTCGCCAACGAGGGCGATGTCGCCGCGGGCCTTGCTGCATGACATCGAGCGTATCCTGCGGCGCGGTGTGGCCGTTGTACGAGCAGATGACGCACTGCTCAGCACGCTTCAGGCTCTTGGAAGAAGAGGCAGCATCGACTGCGTCACCTCTGGTGATGCTAGGAAGGGCAACAGTGGCCGTAGAGGCGAGCATCAGGAGCAAAGCTTCACGGGTAGGAGTCAGCATCTTGTAATCATCTTCTGCTCAGACTGTATGTGAGAAGGGACACATATTGTTGAAGAGGGCTTACGCTGTTCCCTCTATATGTCATGCGTCTCGGTTGAGATACGCGTCAAGGAGCAGTACTGATGGCCAAGCGACGAAGGCACAGGTGACCACCGATAATGCGATGCTACGCCGGTGCTGGAAACCAACCCTTGGAAGTGGAGCTCACCATGAGTCACGTGGTCTACAATGAGACTGTGGGGTATAGAGTGTGGTAGATGTGATCATATTTATGGAAGGAACGACGTGGTCCCTGTAGCCTGCTAGCTGCCCTTCGCAAGCACCAGTGAAGCAGCCCTGTAGGTTACTAGTGGGCTGACCGCCCACGGCATGTACATACATACGTACAGCACACCGGAAGTTCTATTAGTCAAGTGGTGTACCACGGACATATGTACCAGATATTGGGGTACTTGGCGGTTCGCGAGTGCCGCGAGTGCCACCGAATAACAATGTGCAGACAGAAAAGGCACGTGAATTCAACGCCTCCGACAGGAACCACGCGTTCAGTTCAAGACCTCTCTCCCCTATCCAATGTGCTGTTAAGGAGATACTGTCGAGTGCCGGCGCCCGACGCTAGAGGCCGGAGACGATGACAATCTCGGCACAGCCAGCAGGGGGCGCTCCACTCTTCCGAAACATCATAGTATGTATATACAAGTATACGAAGGTAGATCTCTCCCAGGACGGCCGGGCCTCGCCTTGCTGCTCCCAGCTTCGCTCTCGTTAGCGTCATCAGTTAGCCGTCAGCCGATGCGTGCCGACCATGGGCGCCTGGCGAGATGGGAGCAGCAACAAAGAGAAGTATTATGTATGAGATGCCGCCCAGCCAACCATGCTCACCCTGTCCCCGCATCCCCGCCACATCCTGACTGTGCCGAGTTCTATGAGAGTTCGGCCACTATATAGTCACACAAATGCTCTCGCCCTCCCGCAGTTCGCACCAAGTGCCATCAAATGCTCTCCGTAATCAGGATTCGAACCAAGCAATCGCGGTGCAGCAACGAAATACATAGATGCTTGACACACACGATCCTGAAGCCGACAGACTTGATTCCCCGACGCGCAGCGGGACGATGGCTTTATTGTATCTGCGTATGACGATGGCATGCAATGTCTACCATACAATGGCTGGGTTGCAGTTGCGTACTGCGAACTCGATTGTCTTCGGTTGCCCTGCGTGATCATTGTTCCTCCTCTCCCAGGAGCCATCCGACACCCTTGCTAAACGAAAATGTCCCTCCTCCAAACGATGAAGAGCTCACATGCCGTCTGCCCGTCGGATCGTGTGGCGTTCCCACCGGCATCGCTGCGTCTCCCCTGCCTCTGCCACTTCCCGCGCTGGCGCTCACAACGCGCCCCGTGATGCCGCCAAAGAAGCTCTTTGCCGCCCGCGCAGCGCGCTCGGCCGGGTCGAACGCCGCTTCTGCACCGCCGAGCACGTCGAACAGCTGCGCCGCCCGGCCTCCAAAGCCGCCTCCTACCGGCGCTGGAGACCGCACAAACGAGTCCGCCGTGTTGGGTGTAGGGGGAAGGCCCGCGAAGCGCTGCTGGCGCTCTGCAGATCTGCTCCCGGCGTTCGCGAGCAGCGAGGCGAACGGTGTTGCGTACGCGTCCATCAGCGAGCCCAAGCTCGATGTCGGACTCTTCGCTGCGCTGCCTTTGGCTTTGGCGAAGAACAGGTCTTGCTCAAGCCCAGTTGAATTGGATACTCGGTCATGTAGCTCATGCCATTTGCGCGTCATCGAAGAGATCCTCTCCTTTGGACACAGGGCTAGCACATGCCCCATGAACTGTATGCGAGAGGGATGGTCATCCCACGCGGTCTGTTTCGCAATCTGGTAGCATGTCTTCCACCCCAGCTCTTCCGCCTCCGGCAGCATTTGCGCTGCAGTCAGCATTGCATCACCGGCCATGCCCTTGGAATCCGTGTCATCGCGTGACCGGGACGCAACAGCCGCAGCAGATGCAGCTCTCTTGCGCAGTATGGTAATTGTGGCAATCATGTGGTTGCCCAGCGCCGCTGCCCGCTTGACGTCCTGCGCGGCGATGGCAGCCTCGGATAGCATAGCCAGTGTGCGGACCTCCACTAGCGCTTTGGGTGGCGCGTGTTCTGCGGCTGCATTCAGCTTGACAGAGATGTCGAGAATCGACTCCCAAGCCTTGTATGCATCGTCATCAGTGCTCAGCACAAGAGCAACGAGGCGTGTGCGGTCCTTTGTCATTCTGATCTCTGTGGGCAACATCGGAAGCCCCGGATGCATTTTTGACGGGAGCTTGTACGACCCCAGCTTTGACGTCGCCTCGATGAAGTTGCGCTGCTTCTTTACAGCCGAAGAGGTGGGCACCACGGAGAGGCTAGAGATTGCAATAGCAATTACTATCAGCGTGCTCGAGAAAAGCAGTAGGCGCGACATGTGTGTGCGACTCACATGTCATGGGCCACTCTCATGTCCCCTTTGTGATGATTCGTTGAGGGGGACCGGTCGTACAAGCCTTGAGAAGCGGATATGACAACTTGCTCTAGCTCATCGCCTGCCAGTGTAGGAAGCGCCACATCATCTAATACGTTAGCTGACGTGATGCTCTTGAACAAATGTGTATCTGTGCATGCGGATGAAAGTATTTGAGCTCCATGCTGTGTGCTTCTGCAAGGACGCGCGACCGACTTACGACCTGTCTCAAGAACGCCTTGCAGAACGTTCTTGAAGGTGTCAGTTGCAGTCAGCGGCTGCCAGGAAATAAGACCACTATCGGACTGAAGCGCAGTGAGGAGCTCCTTCCACTCCCCATCGGACTTGCTGCTTGCGCCAGAGCCCGTGACGATGCCCTTCAATTGCTTCAGCTTCTCAGCGCGTGTCGCACAGGCGTACGAGGCAACCGTCATCGGTACCTTCCAATTGACAAGACGTATCATGTTCTTGATGTATGCGCTGGTCACGGAGAGTCCAGACGCAGACTGGACTCGAGAATGCTGAATAGAGCCGAATATTGCTCTCACTGAGGGCAAGTCGGCGAATCTGAACGCGACCTTCGATGCATGCAGCTTCAGCGGCTGAATGGCCGCAGCCAGAGTTGATGCTTCCGATATTAGCGGCACAGTTGGTAGTTGAAGGTCGTTCGCCGCCATAAGGCTTTCGAGAGCACGTAACGAACGGAGGTCCGTTCTACTCGTGCCGAAAGCACAGGACATGATCAAAGCGCACATCCTTCTTGAGCCAAGGTGATCGCTCAAGCCTGCTTCCGGCTTCAGGAGCTCGCAGAGCGAGGAGAACGCACTGTCATCGTATTTGGCCTCTGCCCTTTCAGCCAAGTCGAAGACCAGTGTCAAAGCCCGATCGGTCACAAATTCGGCTTGTTGGGTGGGTGACTCCGGATGCGCCCGTGCACCGATGGAGCTCAATGCTGGCAGGATGGAGCTCTTGCATATTTGAGCGGCTTCAGCCGCTTTGCTTGCTCCCAACATTGATTGCACGAGCTGGTCAATGCTGGGATCGCCAGCGGATAGGATGCGATGGAGTGTGTCCAAGGATGGTGCTGGTTCGTTGGAAATGACTTCGAGCAGCTGCAGATCCCTCGAAAGAGTACCAATGACGGATAGAGAAGGCTCGGACATCTCCACTGATCGAGCTCGCTGCATGAGAAATGAGCAAACATGGCGGATGACGTGCAGATTGGCTCTCTGTCGTTCGAGCTCTCGCAAGCTTGCTACGTACCACTGCAGCAGCTCTTGCGCAGATAGCGGCCCTGTACTCCCTCTCACGCTCGACGATTGATAAACAGCTTCAGTTTGCTCGGCGAGAGCGGCACTGATGGCTGGCTCGTCTGTGATGTCTGCAACTTTCTCAACGTGCTTCTTGAGCCAAGCGCTCGACTCCAGACCCAAGGCGGTGTCCGCAAAAGGTAGTAGATCCAGCGAGATCGCCTCGGATACGTTTTCTTCGAATTCAACCGTGTCAAGCAGCAGCTTGATCAACCCAAAGCGCGCTGTTGCCAACTCTTCCGCAAGAAACGGGTCGTCCAGCAATCTGGATAGGTGCCGATATCGCTGTGTCACGATCAAGCCGGCCGCCACGTCTAGGAGAGATGGCTGCAGGAGCAGCGAAAGTGGTGGAGAGATTGCAGAAGCGCTAAGCGGATCGCTGGTTGTCTGATGCCCATTCTGATTCTCGTCAAGCCCCCACTCGTCTGCTTCCTGGGGTGCCATTGATGCATTGGTAAGCGGAGACGAAGGTCGGGCCGAAGAGACCGCCTGGATTCTTCGTTGGATACCGATGAAAGCTTTCCGGATGGCGAGATGGGGGAGATATGGTCTTGTTGGTCCCTCTCTTTGAACCGCTTCGGCAGAAGCCTGTGTCCGTCTTATACCCTCGTCAAGAACACTGAGAAGATACTCTGCCCCCTCCGGAGATTCATCCGCCTCTCCATTGGCAGCACGGTCCACTTCTGCCAAGCAAGCTTTGAGGATCCACACGTCATCCCTGATGCGACCGAGGATTACCTGCACATCTTCTCGACTGAGCCTTGTTTCAGCTGAAGGCGCTGCAGGATTCTGGCTCGTAGACGGGGCTGCAGACGTTGACAGTACGCTGCGGGCCCGGAGCCATTGCTTCTTCATTGCTTTTTCCGACGCTGGCTGATTTGACATGCTGGCGAAGTTCGCTGCGGCCTTGCTCATCCTGCTATTAGCATGCCGTTCGCCTGTATTGCGGCAGGACATGCATTTCTAACTGGCATGTGCGACGTAGCGATCTCCAGATGACGAGCACAGGTGTTGAAGTGTTTAGGCAAAGTCGTCACTGCGCTCCCGTGCCGAGCCAAGTGTGGCGCGAGAACACAATCAATAACTGCACGGTGTGATCGACACCATGCGCATCTATAGCCTGCAGCGCTTTGTGGCAGCGCTACCTTGGGGTCCCAAAAGGCACATTCAATCGAACGCAACATCGTGGCGAAGTATCGTTGCTCATCATACCAAGCACTGACCTGGACGGTCAGGACTATGCGAACGTCGGCTCTGTGCCTGCGGTACATGAAACCCTTTACCCTGGCACAGCTTGGTCACTTCTGTTCAGCATGGCGCCGCGTGGCCGACAACCGCAGATCTCGCTGGAGGCTCAGCTGCAACAGCTGACGCTCTTCAGCGATCTCGATTCTGACTATGAGAATATCGAGCAGCTAGGACCGATCATCAAGAGCCTTGACGAGGCGAGACAGCAGGATGCATTCTTACGGTATCTCGAGAATTTTGTTCAAGAGAAAGACAAAGAGATCGAGAAGATCTGCAATGACAACCACATCGTGAGAGACTAGGCCAGGCAGCGATGCTTCTACAGAGCCTGGCCTGATTCCATTTCTTTGGTACAGGAATTCGTGCAAGCACTAGACAAGCTGCTGAAGGTCCGGTCCGGAACGGTGTCCCTGAAGCACAGGATCGACGAGCTAAACGAAGATGTGCAGGCAGGAGGACATTCCCTCAGTGCGCGCAAACGCCAGCTTCTCGAGACTCAGCGCACGGTCAATAACGTGGACGAAGCGATAGAGGTCGTAGAGATCTCTCTCCAAGTGTTGAACATTGCAAATGGTATTGATGGCCTGATTGAGAAGAAGAAGTACTATTCAGCCCTTAGAGTGAGGAATGCAATGTGCTGCCCCGGTTGCTTGCTACCCATCTGACACATATCCGTCCAGTCTCTTGACGATCTAGAGAACATTCACTTGCGGGGTGTCATGGCATTTGAATGGGCAAGACACATGCTGGAGTCCATCCCTTCGATGCGAGAATCAATACGACAAGCCGTCACGCGCGAAATGAAAGAGTGGCTTTTTGAAGCAAGAGAGAAGCAGCGTATCGTCGGAAATTTGGCACTGGAAGCCATGGATACTCGCGTCAAGAGATGGAAAGCGAAGAGCCAGAAAGATCCGATTCTGGCCATCGCCAAGGTCAACTCGGCAATCGAGATGGTTGTCAATGAGAAAATCGATTGTGAGTAGCAGAGCAGCCCGCATCCGACACGGAGGCGCTGAGCTCGCTTTAGTTGCGCAGACAACTTTGTCGAAAACGAGCACATCACCATCGACTTCAAGCCTCTGTACCAGTCCATACATATCTACGACGTGATGGACCTGCGAGACCAGTTGCAGAGTAGCTATCAAGAGGACAGGAGGGTAAGTCTTCTTGCCGTGCCAAGTTTTTCACGCGCTGATCCCCGTGCCATTGCGTACAGGCTCAAGCCAATCTTCTCCTTTCTCAAGGACTCTCTTTTAATCCATTAAATCCCACATTTCCAGCGCTTCTAGAAGAAGTGGTAGGCTTCTTCCTTGTCGAATACCATGTTTTGCAGACATCGCCGCCGGGATGGCGTGCAGAGCAAGAAGTCGACGACCTGTGGGACAACATGTGCGAGCGTGTTGTGGATATCGTCAGCGTCGGCTTGCGGAATTGCAAGGACACAAATGTCTACGTCAGCACGAAATCCGCGATCATGACTTTTATTCACACTCTCGAAGTGAGTGCCCGTTCCCGCTATGTGCACAATGGGCTGAGGTGACGCGACCCGCTTTTTATGCAGAGCTACAACTTCACTGTCAGCAAGCTCAACGCACTGCTACTCACGCTCTTCGAGAGGTACGCACAACTGCTCCGTGATCGATTCTCCGTCGACTTTCAACAGGCGGTTAAGGAGACTGAGCACCAGCCGATGGTCGTCAACAATGCGGACGAGCTCCGAAAGGTGCTCAACGTCTGCTGGTTACAACCAGGCGTCGCGGACCATCTGCGCAAACAGCCCTTTCCCCTTACCCTGCCATTCTCTCAGACTTATCCGCTGTGCTGCATGGATATTCGTCACCTTGTCGACGAATACTACACTTTCTCGGATGGCTTCTCCCAGCACCACCGAGATATTGACGACATTCTCAAACAATCTCTCGACGAGCTGCTTATCCAACAAGTCAGCACTAGCATTCGAAGCAGCTTGGAAAAAACGTCCAACCTCTCACAGATTGCTCAGATCGTTGTAAACGCAGAGCATTTCAAGCTTGCATGTACCGAACTGGAGGGACTCCTCATTGCACTCCGAGCCCCATCACGAGGAGGCAAGCTACGGCTCGATGCCTCACCGCATTTCAACACCTCTCTGGAGCTTGCTCAAAAGCGCATAGATACCGCAACAGCGGTCAAGCTGGGTCAGTTCCTCGATCTCGAGGAGCACAACATGGTACCTACCCGGTCGAGGACAGAGTGTGCGGATTACTTGCCAGAGATGCTCGCCTGGCTGACGACCATGATGGAGAGCGTACTGGCCTTGCTGCCGCCCGATACGAAGCAAGTGGCGTACAAGAATGCATTCAAGTACATTGCGGAACACCTCACCAAAACGTGTTTGCTAAGCGATCGGGAGACCAAAATCAACGAAGCTGGACTGAGGAACCTCGAGATTGACGCAGAGTTCCTCCAGCAGCACGCATCTAAATTCGGCGGAAAGGAAGACTTTGGCAAAGTCTTTTACGAGCTGAAACAGGTCTGTCCGATTGTCCGGTCTTCTCTTGGTTTAAAAGACGTGACTTGCTGACACTATAACTATCTTCCAGACCATTTCTCTCGTCCTGAAGGACGGCGCGTACGACTATGCGCACAGCCCTACGTTGCGCGCGCAAAAGTACGCAGCTGTCCAACCCTCCAGACTCCTCATTGTGCTGGACAAGCTCGCCAAGTATCATGCTTCTGTGCCGACTTCACAGGAGCAAGATGTAGCAGCGAAGATTTACCGCGAAAAAGATGCCGTGAATAGAATGATCAGGAGAGTATAATTCGCCTTGGCCCTCTTCAAGTTTTACTCTCTAAAACCTTGTTGTAAAGATATCTCGCTACGCTACAGTGATATGATACAGTGTTTCATTTACGAGAGACAGAATCGCGAACCACCTGCAGGAAAGGGTCTCTCCGTCTTCGCGTATTTGAGGCCAATTTCGCCGCTAGTTGTTGAGCGGGCGAGCCAGTTGCACTGCGTTTATGAGTCGGTTTCGAAGGACCGCGCACGGCTATCGCCGATGCAGATAAAGAAGATGACGGACGCGCACGTTCACCACATCGAGGGACGGTGTTGCGCGGGGTTGCAAGCCCTAAAGATAGTTTGTCTCGGTCAAATTTAAACTTTGCGTTCTCTTCCCGCTGCTTGCCCTTCTCCTGCCGCCAGGCCTGCATCGCCTGGTCTCGGGTACCTTCATCTTCTTTTGCCAATGGGAAGTCGTTTGTCCACCCGATACGTTTCCGAACGGCATCGTCGGCCTCTCCCTCTCTGATGAGCGCTCTTTTCTCCTTTCGCAATTGTCTCCGCAGTGTTGAATTGAGCGTGTACGGATCCGACCAGCGTGACTCGCTGAATTCTTCCAGCTCCGCGATACGGTCGGCCGAAGTCTTGGCTTGTGTCTTGTCCTTATTCGCTTTCTCAAGCGCCGCGAAGGGATCTTTCGGTGCTTCTGCTTTAGAGCTTGATGGGCCTGCATCGCCGACTGTGCGAGCGGGAAGCGCGGTGAGAATGGTCATAGCTAATGTGGCTCCGCAGAACACACCCACGTTCTATGCTGAAGCTCCCATTAGCATCCGCATCCCACTCTTGATTCTGTTGCCTTGCCCCGCTTTCGACGACATAGCGCGTGTTCTGAGGATCGGTCCGAACTTCGAACCAGTTGGAGCAGAGATGGCATTTGCACCTGAAGCTCCAAATTGGTGTGCTGAGATAGCTTCCAACCTTCTTCTTTTCCGCATTGTATCGGACGCCCTGCCCGATGTGGTTCTTGCATCCGTCACACCAGACGTTGAATGGGAGTTCGAAGCGGACAATGAGGATGCCTTGATCGAGCTTGCGCGCTCTGTCGCCAAGCGGGTGCTTGCCGACAAGCGAATTAAAAGACTCTTTGCGGGGATCTGAGTCGTAGGGCCGATACCGGCCCACTGATTCGAGGAAAATGCACATCCGCAGACAATCAGTGCCATGCTAGTAGATTGCAATCGCGTATTCGCGTTGCCACTCACTGTTAAACCCCTGCATGGCGAATGACCTCGACTTGGTTGGTTATACCCTACAACTGGTAGGATGGTGACCACTGCCTCTTGTAGCACAATGCTAAGGCACACCAGCACATTGGGATAGCCAGGCTCGAACCCAGCGCCTTGATACCTGCAGGTGTGCCTGTTTGGTGGTCGCATATGTGATAGGTAATAGCAAGGTTGTGAAAGGTTGAAAGATTGAAATGCTTGACACCGCCGCACGTCAATGCATAAGTTCCAAGGGCGGAACAAGAGCACACTCTCTGGTCCGGAACGGAGATTGAAGATGGCAACCTCAACCTTACATTTGACAAGGTTCACCGGACGGCAGCAGGATACGAGGAGAGGCAGAAGCCCGATCATTGACGAGTGCTCGCTTGGCGCATTGGTTGCCGCTGTGCACGTTGTTACTCGGCAGGGATCAACGGTGCGCATTGTAAGGAGCTGGGAGCCAATCCGGGTCGAACTCTCGCTTCATGTTGCGATTGGCAGGTTATGTATGCTACAATGGACGGAAGACTTCTCAAACACTAGGATGGGCGATTCTCATTGAATGGTCTTGCCGCCCATCCCTATCCGGCCAATACCTGATCCTGAAGCTGGCAGTACGCTGGGGACGATATCCTGCAGCTTGTCACCCAGCTTGAGGGCGGTGTACTTGACTACCCGCGGGTCCGCTCGTAATCGTCCGTAGAGCGTTTCAAGAGTTCGAGGGTTTGTGTCGAATTGCATGAGGAAATAGCTGGAGAAGGCAGCGGTCGCAGGGTGCGATGGAAGTAATCGCGGCGCAAAATATCAGTTTATAGCTAGCTGGAGTCAATGAGGCTATCGAGACAAGACTTACTCTCCCTCTGTATGCCATTGCTGATGTGCTCTTGCTCGTTGCGGAAGCGTTCTGCGGCCCCAATATTGGACGCCTCTAACAGCGCCTCCATTGTCCAAGACGAGACGAGAAGAAGACCGAATCAGATCCCGCAAGAGGGCCTGGCAAAAAGGACAAGTCGGTCAAAACTCCCCATCAGCTCTCCTAATTCTTGATGGGTCTCGGTCCCGATACAATTCATCAGCGTACAGATTCGGCAGAGTAAGCTGCTATGCAAAGGAGCTCGTACAGTCTGTTCCGGGCAGGGAAAGCAAAAGTGTGAGGTTGCGAATTGAGGGTCACGCGGTAAATTCAACTCACGGCATGGTACCAGTACTTGCACACAATGTGCGAGTTCCTGCCGGAATGAACCTACAAGGGACGTTGCTTGCCGAGATGTAAGCAGCGCAATGGATCGATGTCGCCCAAAGGATGGTCATTGAGCAGCAGGATAAATGGCATAAGATGGTTTTGCTTTGCATTGATGTCAACCAGCTTTTGGCGCTCTGAGTCTCTGGGCGGAACAGCTTGATTGCATTCAATTTCTCGGCCGAGGAAAGACACTGCCGAGGTGCAGGCTCTCACTCTCGCTCTGTGGGCGTTGTGATGTGCAACGGTCTGTTCTTCTAGTTCTCTCTGGTGTCACACAGTCAGCCATGGCATCGACTGACAATGCTCAATCCCGTCTTCTCCATAATCGTGCTCATTTTCCGACTTACCAGAGCGTCGCATACGTGCAGTTCGTGAAAGGAAGTATCACAACGAGCTGCTTGGAGATCATTTTGGGGGCTGAAGGCGGATCCGGGCTCCTGCTGAAGAGAAGTCAACATGGCTCAGGTGAGGATCGCGGTGCTGCCCCGGCCTAAGTTGGAAGATGACTCATGTTCCGAGCCGTGTTGGACAGACCTACACACCGTCGCTACCTGACGTCACGGCGGCCCTGCTGGGCGACACATCCAAGGGAACACCAGCCAAAGGGAACATCATTCCGATCTACAGGTCCCTGCCTGCTGACTTGCTCACGCCCGTCGTCGCATACCTCCGAATGACAAATGGCGCAGAGAAGGGGCGGCATGGCTTTCTTTGCGAGAGTGTCACGGAAGGCGAAAAGATTGGCCGGTATAGCTTCGTAGGGGGAGGTGAGTATGCCCAGTACCACCCAATGAGGCTTATTTGCTGTGTGCTGATAGAAGCCGCGTCCTTTTCCAGATCCGTACAAGGTCATTCGGACAGGCCCGCACCTGGAGCTCCAAGGGGATCCTCTTACGCATATACAGAAGGAACTCAAAGACTTCAAATACGTTCCGCTACCCAACATGCCCAAATTCACCGGTGAGTGGAAGTACGGTATGTATAGGCCTGCATGCTCGAGTCTCAAGCAGGTTACTTCCCTGCAGGCGGCGGCATGGGCTACATCTCCTACGACTGCGTGCACTACTTTGAGCCACGGACCGCGCGCCCGCTTTCGGACCCACTCGACATTCCCGAGTCGGTCTACATGTTCTGCGATACGCTGATCATTTTTGACCGCATCTTCCAATCGATCAAGTGTGTATCACACGTGCACCTTGCCGCCGACGCTCCGCAGACGGCGGAGGAGGTGCAGCGACGGTACGAGGCGGCAGCGGCCAAGGTGGAGGCGCTGGCGAGGAGGGTGCTGTCTGCGGAGACGCCTCTTCCAGAGCAGGCGGCGATCAAGCTCGGGAACGAAGCTGTGAGCAACGTGGGGAAGGAAGGTTACGAGGGGTTTGTGACGAGCCTGCGTAAGAGCATCGTCAAGGGGGATATTATCCAGGCGGTGCCTTCGCAGCGATTAGCGCGCCCAACTTCGCTGCACCCGTTCAACATCTACCGGCACCTGCGGCAGATTAACCCTTCACCGTACATGTACTACGTCGATGTGGCCGACTGCCAGATCATTGGCGCGTCGCCGGAGACGCTGTGCAAGATCGAGGACGGAAAAGTGGCGGTGCACGCGATCGCGGGAACGGTTAAGCGTGGCGCATCGGACGAGGAGGACACTGCGCTCGGGGCGGCGCTGCTGGCGAGCGAGAAGGACCGCGCGGAGCACGTCATGCTGGTGGACCTGGCGCGGAACGACATCTCACGCGTGTGCTTGCCGGCGACGACGCAGGTCGAGTCGTTCATGCAGCTGGAGAAGTTCTCGCACGTCATCCACCTTACATCGCGCGTCACGGGTCAGCTGCGCGCGGGCAAGGATCGCTTCGATGCGTTGCGCTCCATCTTCCCCGCGGGCACGGTTTCCGGCGCGCCCAAGATCCGCGCGATTGAGCTCGTCGCAGACCTCGAGAAGGAGAAGCGTGGCGTGTACGCGGGCGCCGTCGGGCACATTGACTATGCGGAAAGGGAGATGGACGTTGCGATCGCCATCCGCACGATGACGTACAAGGATGGGACGGTGTACATGCAGGCGGGTGAGTTATTGCTTCCCCCTCTCCTCTGTCTCTCTTGCATTTCCTGACAGTCACCCGCCACCCGGCACAGGCGGCGGCATCGTGTTTGACAGCGTGGAGGAGGACGAGTACATGGAGACGATCAACAAACTCGGCGCCAATGTGCGCTGCGTGGACGAAGCGGAAGGTGAGTGTCGTGTGTGTGTGCACGGGTGAAGGTGGAGGGCCTCCCGCTGATGTGCTCCCTTGTTGAACTGCACTGCAGCGTACTACTACCGAGCGCAGCAGGCGAGCTGAGGAGAGCGCTGTAGGATTGTGCGAGTGTGCATGGGGTGTGGCGCGTGGAATCGATGCAATATTATGCTATGCTGATCTGCAACGCGAACGAAGGTGAAATAGGGGGCTCGTTGCGTTCGCGGTGATGGAGGAGTTGTTGCGTTCCTTCATAGCGGTGGTGACCGAGCGTGTCTCCCAGGTTCTGTTCTCCGCGCGTCTGCGACTCAAACTGTCTGTCATGGTGGGTATGCAGCTGCCTGCGCACCGCGATCCAGCGACACCCCCTCTGCCAGGTCTCATTGTTCCATTGCATGCCCACCCATCTATTTTTCTTCTGCGTGATCTGTCTGTGCAGCGCAGTGCTGGTTGGTCTAGACATGCGAACTGCGGAGCATGTGCGTGTAACATGAATGTACATGCGCACAAAGGAAGCGGCAGCCACTTTGCGTTTCGCAGCCGCTGGTGCACTTACCTTCGACGTCGACATCTCTGTGCTCCACCGTGCCTTCCTTTCTCTATAGGTGTCTGGGGTGCACTGCGTCTTCCCGATCTGCGTCAATGCCGAATCCAATGCCAATCCCAACCCATTCCAACTCGGTTCTATTTGTGTGCGCGCCCCGAAGGTTAGGCTGAAGTGCGAGGAGGCTCCGAGGAAATAAGAAATGGAGAGAAGACAGCGACTTCTTTCTTTTACGACTGGACGCGCTGCGGCGCAAGCAAAAGTATGTCGTTCGCTTTGAGGAGGAGAGACTGCTGCAGTGCTTGTGCCGAGGACGGCGCCCTCTTCGGGACGCCCGCCGCGTAGAGTGTAGAAGAGTGCTGCAGTGCTGCTCCTGCGCGCGCGCCAACATCGGACGCTCCATCCTCATTCCCCCATTCCATTCCCTTTTTTTGCATCCGCCACATCATCCATCCGCCATCTCCCCATCCTCCTGCTCCGGCGACGACGACGAGGGCAACGAAGATACCAGCCCCTCGTGGCAGCGCTCCCGCACAACTCCCTCCGATAACCCATCACCGCCCACACGCCGAGAGATCGAAGTAGCAGCACGGTGCGCAGCTGCCGCTCCCCATCGCAGCCTGACACAGGTCCTCGCGCTCGCAATCACCCTCGCACGTCGCTCCGCGCCGCCGCCGTCATGTACGGTCAAGCACACCATCGGCCCGATACAGCCGGCAGCGTTAGCTCTCTACCGAGAAATCAGCAACAATCCGCATCGGCTGGCGCCAGTACCGCCCCACCGCCGCCTCCCGCCGCAGGCTGGACCGGTCCGGACGCGTCGCAGCGCCATCCGCACCTGCATCACAACCCGCACCTGCATCAGAACCCACACGGCTCCGAGCCGTACTACCCCGCCATCCCGCCAGCACCGGCACCCGCGCCGCATGGAATCATGCAAGCAGGCATCGCCGTCCCCGTCAGTACTCAGCACCCGTACGGTGGCACCGCCTCCGCCAGCGCCGCGACACCCAGCAAGGACAGCTTCTCGGACGAACTACAGGTCGTCATGCAGCTCGGCGGCGAAGCGGCCTCGCCGCAGACGGCTGCCCATGGCGCTCCGTCGCGCAAGCGCAAGAGTGGGGGTGATAGCGGTGGTAGTACCAAAGAAGGAGGAGGCAGAGAGGCCGGTCGCGGACCGCGTGCGAGCGGAGCGAACAGCGCGGCGCAAACAGCCAACGGCAACGTCGCCGCCACCGCTGCCCTCACTGCTGGCACCGTCGGTATCGACAGCGAAAACGAGGGTAGTCCCAACACCCATCTTGGCGGAAGTGGCAACAAGCAGTCGCGCCCTGGCAAGGTGCGTAAGGTGGTCGTGACGTCGTGCGACGCGTGCCGCGCGCGCAAGCTGCGCTGCAATGCCAAGGAGCTCCCGCTCGGCGAGGCATGCTCTAACTGCGTTAAGTCCAAGGCCGCATGTTCGTTCGACTACTGCGCAGACACAACTGGCGGCACCATCCGTCTGCGCAACCGCGTTGCCGAGCTCGATGCCGGCGCCGCCATCGTCGCTACCGGTGGGCTCGCGCAGCTCGCGAGCCTCGCGGGCACAGGTGGCCACGCTTCTACCGGTGGTGGTGGTGTCGGCGGCGGCGGAGGCGCTGGCAGCCGTGGTGTCGGGGAATTCCGCAATGGCCCTACATGGCACTCTGGGTTCGGCGCAGACGTCGAGGCGTTCCGGTACGCCAACGAGGACCCTTCCAGCTGGTCGATTCCGCTCGTGATCACTGCGCCGCAGACGGGGATGCAGGCAACATACGCGCTGCAGGGTGTTGTCGACACGCTCCTCGCGCGCTTCTTTGAGCAGGGCACGCTCGCGACGATGATCATGTTCAAGGACGACGTCATGAGCCGCTACACGGCGCAGCAACAAGCCGCCGCCACTGCGGCAACGGGCATGCTGCCGCCCGCAGAGCAGCAGCACCCTGAGGGCCCGCTTCCCGCGTTCCTGATCCTCGCCATGCTCGCGTGCGCGGCCGTGTCGAGTGTGACGAGCGAGCCGGAGCTCATCGAGTGGGGCAAGACCGTCGGCTGGCACCTCGCGCTGCGCGGCGTACAGCGCCGCCTTGCTACGGAGGGTGTCCCCGACCTCGACCTACTTCAGGCCATCGTCCTTGTCAGTGCATGCTGGTGCGGCGATAACCCCAACTCGCAGGAGCGCATTGCGCTCTTCGAGACGGCGTTCCGTCTCGCGTACGACATGAACCTCACCTCATCGCTCGACACCAACCGCCTTGCGCTGGACATCAAAGCGAAGCGCATCGTCATCTTTTGGGTGCTTTACGCGCTCGACAAGGCCATGGCCATCATCACGCGCCGGCCTGTCCAACTCGACAGCGAGCTACACTCGATCCCGCGTCTTAGCCTAACGGACGTCGTGCGTGCGCGCGCAAAAGGCACCCCGCGCGCGCTCGCCCCGGACCCACGCGCGAATAACGAGGACGTCTGGACATGCCGGCTGCTCGAAGCGTTCGTCTCTCTCTGTGCTGTCTTTGAGAAGACGCGCTTGCCGATGATCGAGCGCCGCGCCATGCAGAGCCTCACGTTCCGCGCCATGCAGAACCAGATCTCTTCCGTGGAGGGTGAGCTTGAGGATTGGTGCCAGAACCATGGTGAGCTTCTTTCCACCGCCACCTGTGAAGGCCAGGTTTTTCAGGGTATTGCCGAGGGCCTCGTCGTCATCCTCCACGTTGCACAGTTGCAGCTCTACTCGCCCACGCTCCGCTACGAGTCGCGCCAGGCGTCCAAGGTCCCCATGAAGTTCTCAGACAGTAATAGCAAGGCGCTCACCGCGTGCATCGAGTCCTCCTGGCACCTCATTCAGCAGCCCGAGAGTCGCTTCGCGCTCGCAGGCGGCAGCGCCGATCGCCCGAGCATGGGCACGCTCGCGTCGACCATCACCACACTCGGCGTCGTCCGCGCCACGCAGTTCCTCCGCTTCCTCAGCACAACCTGGGCCGACTGGCGCCAAGGATACGGCATGCACGACTGCCTCCCACGCGCCTCGGTGGACACGCAGCAGAACCTGGTAGCTGCAGCTGCAGCAGCCGACGGTCAGCACGTCGACCCTGCCCTGCAGGCACAGCAGGAGAAGGAGGAGCAGCAACCGACTTCACAGCAAAGGGTAACCAGTACAGATAAAGGGACAGGTGCTTCTGGCCGCAGTAATCGTGCCACAAACACACCACACTCCGAGCCATGGGGTGCGCCTCCACCCGCGCCCTCGACCACGGCTGGCGGAAGGCGCGGCCGCAAGCAAGTTCCAGCGCCGCTCGACTTTGCATCGCCGCAGAACAGCACCAGCAGCTCTTCCGATACTTCCGCCGCGACGGATCAGCAGGCTAAGGACGGCGCAAATGTCAAGTTTACCCACATGCAGCCGACACCGACGACACCGGCGCGCTTCCTGTTCGAGATGCCCAGGACTGCTAGCCTCAACGGCTGGATGGGATCCATGCCTGGTGCCATGGGCGCCATGATGACGCCGCTCCGCCCGGATTTCCTCGGTGGCCTCGACCTCAATATTCCGTGGGAATAAGAGCCAACAAATAGGCGCCTCGCATGTCCAGAAAGATACCCTCCAGTTGCCTTCCGTGTTGTCTTCGGAAAAAAGCCGCTCCTGCCATTGCACCGCCTTGTACTAGTACTTTTGCAAATTTCAATACATGCTTAGCCTCTGCTGCTATTGAACATGTAGCATTTTCAGGACCGGCGAAGCCAGCCGCCAAACCATCCGCGCTTTTGTTCCACACCCTGCGTTTCCTCATCCGGCGCTTCGCCAGCATCTTCTGGATCCTCGAATGTCTCGTTATCACTCGCTCCCGTATCTCCGGCCTCAGCCTCCTCGAAAGTGATGGGATCTTCGAAAGCCTCCTCTTCGTGAGCACCGCCACGCGCGGCAGGATCAGCAGCTTCGCTGCGCGACTCGCTCTGCAGGGCTTTGAGCACTTCGGCGGGAACTCGCTTGGCCTCTTCCAGCAGCGCCGGGTCAAAGTCGACATACTTGTTCGCGAGCTCACGCAGTGCGGCAGCGGCATTGGTCTCTCCCATCGCGTCGCCCCTCATCGCAGCCGCCTGCGGAAGCGCGCTGCTGGCTGCATCTTTGCGCAAACCACTGAACATTTCCTTCTGCATCGCGTGCTTCGCTTCCAGCAGTTTGTTGTCGGTATCATCAAGCGTCTGTTCTGAGATGAAGGGCGGGATGTCACGATTCTCCTTTCCAATGTCTGCCGCCAGATCCAGCGCAGATCTCGCTTGGCGGATGAAGAGTTGGGCGCGGTTGATGAGAAGGATGGCATGAGGATAGGCTCTCGACAGGCTGTATGCCTTCGCGAGCTGACGAAGCAGCTCAGATCTGTACCAGGCTGTCTTGGCATCGATCAAGCTGGACACGTCTGGCTCGGTCTCCACAAGGTTCAGGCCTGCAATGTCATTCAAACTTGCCTCTGCGGCGTCAAGCAGCTTGGCAAGGCCAGGCACAGCGCGCGCTCGCCTCCTCTTGGACTTTTCTTCTGCCATTACCCTCAACTGCATGGACCGAGCTTTGGCCTGCACGGCCAGCCGACGCTTTGTTCCTCCACGTGCAGGCCTGCGCTTGAATTGCTTCGGCTGCTTGCGTGGCTTCTTTGCTTTGCTACCAGGATTCTTCCCTATATTTGCCTTCTTTTTACCTTCAACATTGTTGCGCTTCTTCCTGCCGCTTAAGGGGGTTATCCTCCGTCCCGCTGCCTTGATTCTGATTTCAATTGCGTCGCGAGCGCGCCTCTCCCTGCGCTCAGCCTTGCGTTCCACCTCTTTTGCCAAGTGGTCGTTCCTGCGAATGCGAAGGGAGAGTAGTGTGTACAGTAGGTAGTCGTGCGCAGCTTTAAGCTCTTTGTTGACGGCTTGATACCGAGAGCTGTGGCTCTTGGCTAGAGCAGCTGCGTTGTCCTCGACGAGTTGAGCGGCAAGGCGCTCTGCATCAGCAGCAGCGCTCAGAGCGCGGTCAAAAGGGTCCATGGCGGTCTTGGTACTAGATGAACGGAAACGCCTGGCTTCGCCTGCCTTGCGTCGTGCGTTCCTCTCCGAGTGTTTGAAGCGCGGACGTTTTCCTTCGGCTGACGCCGCCGGCATCTTGTTCTTCCCATTGTCGGTCTCCTCTGACACTTCTTGTGTGAGCGCATGTTCAAGAAGTTCCTTCTCTTTTCGTGCCACGGTGACCGCATCTAACAGCTCTGGGTTTCGGATATGGATGGTACGGCCTCGCCAGACAATTTCGGAGTTTGCACTAGGGGTCCCGCTCGTCTTTCTAGAGGCCTTGCCGATCTCTTTCATCAGTTCTTGAGATTCAGGCGCCCACTTCTCGCACGTCTCCTCATCCGCAACACCCTGCTTGATGACATCGAGATTCTGCTCATCAAGCTCAAGCTGATAAGCTGAGAAGCGAATTTGTGCATCCCCTGCATCGACAAAGCTGTTGGCGAACGCCTCATCTTTCGCACTCAAGGAGTGCTGGGCCAGGAAGCTCAAAAGCTCTCGAGCCACGCAGGTCTGCTGGAGCGACTCGCTGTGACGGGACCGATCGAATGACACTGAGCCGCGCACAATGCAAAGGTAGGCGGCTGCTTCAAGACGAGAGCGTGCAGAGGACACGCTGGACAACGCTTTTAGAGCATCGACCAGGTTGGACGCCCATTGCACAGCGCGCCGAGCACGAGCTGTGCCCTGTTTGAAAAGGCGCGAATCGTTGTCCTTCTCAAATGCAGCTGTTTTGAGCTCCTGAGAATGTGCCCAGTTTCTTTCGGCTTCGAAGAGCATGAGAAGCAGGATGCTGGCGGCAGTTACATAGCGTCAGCTGGTTGCTCTCGGCGTTAACTCCTTCCTGGGCGACATACGTTTGGTCCTTCACATCGGTGGTGGTGACAGTCCTCTTTGTGAACTGGTTGCCCCCGAGCTTGGCTGCAGCCTCAGACTGTTGAGCAGACGTAGGGCGCTTTGACCTTCTGCCAGCATTCTTCTTGGCCCTGTTCTGCTTCGCTCCCATGTGCTGATCATCGACGTGCGTCAGTTTGGCGATTTCCCTCAGGCGGTGCACCTTCTTGGTGCAGTACACACTGGCAAGGACATCGGTCAGCGAGCCGAGTCTTACTACGTGTCAAAGAGGGTCACTGCTCACCGGTACCGCTCGTACTCATTCTGACGCATACCATGCTCGTTACGAGCTTCCGTAAGGGTTTGCAGCAAGCGGAGCTCCCCAATGACAACGCCCTCGGCGGGGTCACGGCCGCTGAAATCGAACTCCATTGTGAAATCGACAATGGTGCCTACAACATGCGCCAGGACTGCTTGTTACCCTCTCGCAACCTTAAAACGCATTTCTAGCGTGGATTAATTGAGCCGTGGTCCACGAAGCGTCGTAGAGATGTACACTCTCGATTGGTGAGTGAGCATGGTGGACGCACCCATCAAACATCGTCCGTCTTCTGGGTCACAGTCCAGCAGAAGGGTCACGTGACGTCGTTGTTTGATCCGCTCATGACCTTGATGGCGAACCTGACTTGGCTCGTCGCCAGTATGTGGTTTGTTTACGAGCGTCGGAAAGGGCGATAATGTGCCGGAATAAAGTACATTAGACCTGCGCTCAAGGTCGAATGTGTGAACTCAAGTTGGGCAGGTGCAGAGCCAGATCACTTCTTAGTAACGGCTTTAGCCTTGCCCTTGCCTTTAGCTGCGGCAGACGGCTGCTTTTTGGCCTTGACGAGCTTGTTCTTCGACAGATCCATATCCTCTCCATCATTCTCGTCCTCATCTGCATCCGGCACCACCTCGTCATCAACATCGTATGCCTCCTCAACGTCAGGTGCAGCATCACCCTCGAGCTGCTTGACTTTGCTCGCAGAGACTTCAATGGTCTTATAGAACGCGACGGGACTGCGAGATTTGGAAGAGTATTGACAGCATCAATGGATAGAAGAGCTTGGCGTCAGGCTCTGAGGTGACTCACTGGTTCGCGGAGTTGTACTTGCGAGTGAAAGACGCCTTGACAGCGCTCGGGATCCTTTTGGTCACTTCTTCGCCATTGTGAGCGCCGACTCCCAGCTCCAAAATGGCTTCCCGATCCTCAAGGCCAAGGAAGTACTCATCCATCACGTCAATTACATCAGCGATTCCATTCTGTGCGAACGAAAGTCAGGATGGATTTTCTTAAAGCGCTATCAGTCGTTTCGGTCACTCACAGCGCCATCCTTGATGAGCGGCTTTGAAAGCAATTCGAACAAAACTGGCTCGTATGTCAGTCGAACCTCGTCCGCGCTGCCCGATGCAGACAGGCGCATACGTGCTTGGACATCAACATTCGCACGGCGTAGCTTGTTTTGCTTCGAGTTCTGCCCCAGCCAGATCGGAAAGCTCGGGAAAGTGGAGCCAGGTCCATAGACGAATGATGCTGGTCGGACGCATGACGCGATGGCATGCTGCGGCATGAGCGACCAGTGCTGCTGTGGGCCGTGAATCATCGAGTCGATCATGTCGCCGTCCGAGATGGACTGCGCTGCCTGGGAAAAGAGCAGGAGTGAGGTCAGTTCCCTCATCGGGCCTGAGTCTCGATTGTTGGACGGCCTTTGCTTGAGATAATTTTCGTGCATGAGGAGCGGCATAAACATAGGGTCTTGAAAGTAGTAATCTGCTTTGTCGTTAAGCGTTTTGCGAGAGGTCGGAGCGAACATTCCTGGGCCAGTAAGTTCCCCATACAACGTGAATGGAGTGTGCATCCCCGATTTCATGTTAGCCTCGCCGCTGCATAGAAAATCGTGGGATATTCAGTCACCAGAGTTGTCCATACATCGATACCCCACAGACTCACAGGGCTTTGCTCTCGTCGAATGTCATAGTCTTCTGACTTAGGCTCCAAGTAGATAGCATGTTGAGCATGAGCCTGATGTCACCTTGTGCGGACTCGATCAGGCTGAGCATGACCTCCTGTGGGATCTTGAGTTTCTCGCTGCTCGAGAGAGGCGCGTAAGGAAAGGGGTCTCAAGCAATATATGTTCAATGGGCACTCACTTGAAAGCAACAGAAAGTAAGCGGGACTTGACCGCCTGAGCCTCTGGTTTTCTGAAGGTAATATTGAATGTTGTGTGCTCGAATGGCTTCATTTTGGGCGACTTTCTGTCGTTGCAAATGCAGATGATGGGCACCTTGCTTTTCTTGATGAGTGCGTTGATCGCTCCAACTCCACCACGATCACCACCGCCCATGCCGTCGACCTCGTCCATGATCAACACCGTCTTGTCGGTGATCCGGACACCGTCTGGCCCCAGCGATTTGCCAATCTGAGCCCCGTGATACCATCCATCAAGGTTGGTGTTGTTGATCGCGTCACGCAGGGCTAACTCGATGAGTTTCTTGCTCCTGATGTCCGATGCATTCATCTCGATTGGGGTATAGCCGAGGCTGCGCGACACGAGATGTGCAGCACTAGTCTTACCGATACCTGGAGACCCAGACAGGAGGACGGCGCGAAAGGTTCCGGAAGCGTCCGGACCGGGTTTCTTGAAATTGGAAGCGAGCGATTTAGGCCATCTTTCCAGCCAATTTTTCAGCTTTTCGATACCCGCCTTGTTGCCGACTAGGTCCTTCATCTTGCGCGGGGCGTATTTCGTGGTCCATAACAACGCGTCTGACGACTCCTCTCCAAGTCTCGGATTGCCAGCGCCACTGACCGCCCCGCCCAGCTTGAATCCGTTATCCGCAGTGACTTTACCTGTGGAAGCTGGCTGTTGCATCTCTTTCGCGACTTCTTTAATCTGCTTCTCCTCATCCTTCAACTTCTTCAATGTCTTCTCGTCCAGCTTTCCTGCTTTTGAGCCGCGGATGAGATCGAAGAATCCATCTTCATCGAGAATCTTGCATGCCAGCTTGCTTGCCTTGATCTTCTTAAGCTTCCCTGCGCCTGCCCCTTCACCCATGACGACGTGTGTTGTTTTCGATGACGGCGCGCCCGTGACCTTCGCCCCATACCGCTTTGCCAAGTCGACCGCCTCCTCGCGTGCAAGGGAGCCGAGCTCTCCGGTAAACACGATGTTGCAAGCTGCTAAACAATTTGGCTGACCTTGTGGCACTTCCTTGGAACCAGGTGCGGTGGGCCCAACACGATCTCTGTTTGGAATCCATGGAGCCTTCTTCTTCTCCGTGTCCTTTTGAGCAATGTTGAAGTCTGTTGGAGCAAAGCGCTGGATGGCCTCGTCGATGTCCATTCCTTCTGGGCCTCCGTTCTCTCCGTCTGGGGCATCGCTGCACGTCAGTTTCTGTACGATCGAAACGGAATTGACCCTGAAGATGCAAGCCCTCACTTGAAGACGGTTCCTTTCCTTTGCCCTTGGCGTTAGGTTTCGTAGAAGGACTGTTGGCGGCATTCTTCTTAGGAGGGCTCTTGGGCTTTCCCGTTGCACCAGAGACCACCCGTTTCTTAGCCGCCGGTTCAGAGCTTTTCTGCTTTTTATCATAATCATCATCCGAATCAGAATCCTCGATGGCGACCTTGCGCTTGCTCGCTACTGTTGCACTGGGCTTCGGTGCACTCTTCGCTGTCTTGGTATTTGAAGAAGAGACAGAAGGCACGGCCATCGCATCATTGTCTGAATCGCTGATCTCGACCGTTTCCGGCTGATAGAAAGGGGTAGTGAGTTAGCTGAGGCTTATTTTATATGCTCATTCAACATTGCAGCGCACCTGCGGTTTAGGCTTGCAGAAACCAAAGACGCTGCGTGTCAGCCTCTTTCGACTGACGGCAAACGCATCGAATATAACTGAAGCACAGTGCCGGGAATACTCACCCTTGTAGCAGAAGCTTTGCTTGCTGCGCCGTTGGCGTTCGAATTGCTGGCAGGCTTTGCAGAAAAGGATTCTTTGGCCAATGAAGCGCTCGATGAACGAGATGAACCCCCGCCACCGAAGAAGCTGGACAGGCTCTTCTGCCCCTTGGGTGGTTCTGTGGACGGCATTCTGGAAGCCACTCTGATCTGAGAAGCAGTTTGAGAGACGAGCGTCGATCTGCCTACAACTCTCATTCAAATGCGTTCAAGAAAGCGACAAAGCTGTCAGCCAAAGCGTCCATTACGTAGCATCTTAATTCTCAGTATGTAGGCAGCGGCTCGCAATCCCCGCGTCCAGACTCGAAATGGGTGTACCAGCATAATCGGGACGCGTGCGCTTCAACGCGTCTCGCGCTCCAACAGACTTCATAGCTTTCATGCGCCATGTTTGTCCTGTGACTTGGGTTCAGGCATTCAATATTTAATATTCAAGCTGCATACACTCTGCAAAACGGGTCACACACGCAACTCTATGCAACCGCCAAGAGCGATATGGGCAAAGGGCACCAACAGCTGAACGCCCGTGTTCATCGTGCCAGCAGTCATCACCGCCTATCGGGTGGCAGAACTTGCATCCTCGCTGCAATCCAATGAAGGGGTCCATATATGAAGTATTCCTGTACATAAAGCTACCTTAAATAATTCGGCCATAAACTTGGATCGTTGATTATCGTGCCTACAATGGTCTACTTCAAAGTCTTGGACGCCTTTCCATAGACAAGGCAATCATCCAACGTGTCCTTCTGCACCTCACGTCGGTCCTTGAACCAGTTGTTGCGCATGTACCACGGCCCTTTGCTCCCCTGCTTCGGCATGTAACTTTCTGCACGCTGTAGGTAGCCCGAATTGAGGTTGAGCAAAGCGCACGGCTCGATCTTCTCGCCCGGCGGGGCCTGCGGAACGACGTAATCCATTCCGGTGAATGTGAGCTTATTGAGTAGGCGGCAGACGTGCTGCGCAGTCACGTCCGAGCCAAGTGACCAGGAGATAATCGTGTACCCGAATCTGTGGCCAGAAAGCGCAACGCATCATCAGCAACATGAAAAATTTGAGAACACATTCCTCAAAGCTCCAAGCGAACTCACGAGATGCACATGTTTGGGACGTCCTGCAGCATGAAGCCCTTGTAAATGAACTTCTCGCCCGCGTGAATTTTCTTTCCATCCACTTCGAGCTCCGCACCACCAAAGAGCTGCACGCGCAGACCAGTGGCAGGGATGATGATGTCCGCCGCGATTTCCTTACCAGAGTTGAGTTTGATCCCGTTCTTTGTAACAGTGTCGATTGTGTCGGTCACGACGCTCGCTTTTCCGGATCGAATAGCGGTGAACATGTCGCCGTCTGGAACCTGTGAGGTGGTGGATCGTTGATACCAATCAATGGAGAGAGAAAATCACAACTTGCCAGGGTGTACACTTACAAAGCAGATGCGCTGATCCCATGGCTTGTAACTTGGGTTGAAATGCGGGTCGAGGGGTGTGCGCTTGTCCAAATGCCAACGCGTGAGCAGCCTGAGAGTGCTACGCATGAAGCGCGGGAAGGTCCTGCACATCTTGTAGAAGGAAAAGTACTTGATGGCCCAGATGTACCTGAGCATCGTGTGCGCCACCTTCTCCGGAAACAAGAACTTGATCACTGTCGCGATTGGATCCGCGCGTGGTAAGGCGACAAAGTAAGATGGTGAGCGTTGCAGCATCGTCACGTGCGACGCGTTGTCCGCCAGTGCCGGCAACAGCGTCACGGCGGTGGCGCCAGAGCCAATTACGACTACCCGCTTGTTGGCCCAGTCGAGGTCCTTGGGCCAGAACTGGGGGTGAACAACTTGGCCTGCGAATTCGGTGTGAAGGCCAGGGATATCCGCTTTGTGCTCGTTCACGTAATCGTAGTAGCCGCTGCACCAGTAGAGGTAGTTGCACTTGACTGTCTTCGAAGCCTGACCGCTGGTTGCTTCAACTTGGACAGTCCATTTTCCCTCTACGGAAGACCAAGAGGCACCAGCCGCCTTGCTGTCGAAATGAATCTTGTCATAGATGCCGAATTGGCGCGCAGTGTCGTTGACATAGCGGTAGATGGCTGGGCCGTCGGCAACGGCCTGAGCATTCTTCCACGGCGCAAAAGGAAAGCCGAGTGTGTACATGTCCGAGTCGGATCGGATACCTGGGTATTGGAAAAGGGACCAGGTGCCGCCGAGATCGTGGCGCATTTCGATGATCGCATAACTGCGCTTCGTATCATTCTGCACGCGATAGGCAGCATTGATGCCGCTGTGAACACGTAATGAGAATTTGTCAACCTGAAAGCGTATCGCATTGCATCAGCCTCACTACTGGAGACATACCTGATTCCTGCACCGACAATCAAAACGTCCACTTCTGTTGGGACAGAAGCGGCCGCAGCAGTAGGCACCGCAGGCCCGACGGACTCGACGCCCTGGCGCGATGAGTGGCCCATGATGAATGTTGATGAGCGGCTTGAGATGGAGGAACGGATGAAGACGAGTCGCTTGAATAGATATGTGCGATGGTCAAAGGTGACAACGAGACAGGAGGCCAAGAACGACAGCTGAAATCAGAAGGTGGAGAGGATGATGGAGTGGATGGTGGAGAGGATGGAAGCGTGGCAAGAGGTGCCACTCGTTTCCAGAGGGATGAATCGAATCCATAGTGGGAGATGTTTCACGTCTTCATGATCTGTGTCTTTTTGCTGAGACAAAGCGCCGGCAGCCTCAGTGTGCCGGAGTGCCGGACTGCAACCTGTTTTGGGCCTTGCTGCGGGGACTGTCACCTAGTGGCCTCTCTCCTTCTCACAGGCCCAAAAGGTCGTGAAAGTGGCGGAAAAGCGGCTCCCCGAGAAGATGAGGTGATCCGGGAGTGCGTGAGAGGGCTTGTACCTTTCTCGGTGCAACCTAAAATGCTTGATTCACCTATCGCTTCAGGGTTATTGCGTGTGTAATACTCCCGACGGCCGATGACATCACAGTTGGCAAGTGCTGGCAAGCGTCTCGCTTGCTTCCTGGAGTCATCCTTTGTCAAAGCATCGCAGGCAAGCTATTTGAAGCCAACCGACCGGCAACACCTTCCCTTAACTAGCAACTATATTTACAGTTGATCTGCATCACAAAGGCTTGCGAGTTCCACCCTCGGTCTGATCCAGCGGTCGAGACCGACGCTTCTATCGCCCCTTGATTCGCCGTTCTAGGACAAGCCCAAATCCCGCCATGCCAAGTACACCCCACCATCATGCTCTCCCTATAACGCAGCATTTTCGTGCGTAGCGCCACATCTCCTGGCATGCGAGCCCTGAGAACATCCTGACGCCGGTGCCAGCTGTCCGGTATGCACACCAATGCGTCGACGAAGGCTGCTCAGCCCAATCCGATGTGCACGTTCAGACGACTGGCGCGAAGTGGTGATTCGTCTGGCACGCCATGGCTGACTTTTCAGGTGCATTGATTTGTAATTTCGCTTTTTGTGACTGCTCCTTTGCTTTAACTCCGGTGCGTACACAATCAAGCCAGAGAACCGCATACAAAAGAACTGTAACCCGAACAGTCGCTCGCAGCAGTTCAACCTGCATAAGATGCAGCGTCAGCCTGCGTGCAATGGGATCAGTAACACCAGTGACTTTGACAAGGAAATGCAAGACATAAGCGCGAGCACAAAAGTTCCACATTCTAAATTATGGGTGGCATGTAGCTATAGCAATTCGTGCTATAATCTCGACCAATGGGATACAGGATTGTCTCTGACCACAAGCCAATCCACATTGAAGGGCTTGCAATTTACTGATGCGTGAACATGCGAGCTGTGTGCAAAGTCATCGCAATTTTTTCTTGATGAAGTGCTGGTTACCCTCGTTACCAAAGACGAAGGGGTAGCAGACCCGCCCTTCTACAGTCTCTCGATGCCATTGTTGATACCTCCAGCGTCCATAGGCAGCGCCTCGATCATCGGCTTGATGTGGTGTCGTGCGGAAAACTCAAGCATGTCCGTCTGCAATGGGCGCTCGGCGGCCAGGGTACCGATGATACGCAGCCCCTGTAACACGATGCTTGCGTTTAGCATCTTGAAGTCTCCGCTTGAGAAGGCAAGTTGACGATGCTAGCTTCAGGCGCGAGGATGTGGACGTACTGGGACCTGCCGATCGGCGCAGACGTGCTGGCAATCAAAAGGGTTGATCTTCTTGTGGTTGAGCTACTTGAAGTCAGGCGTCTCCTTGAGGAAGACGAAGTTGTTTGCGCCCAGCTGCATCTCCCAGTCGTTCTTGCTCATTGTGCCCGAGAAAATGGCGACTTTGCAGCCCATCTTTGCAGCGAACTGGATCGCAAAGGGGCCAGGCCCGCTTACACCGACAATGCCGATGCAGCCAAACGGCTGTACCCCAGCGTGTACCAGGACGCCATACACTATTTCACCTCCGCAATGCAATCGTGCGGCGTAATACAGTGGCAGCCCTGCTGAGATGGGGAAAAAACCCCGGTTCCCTGATCACCGCCCGGTCGCAAATTCCATCTTGGCGGATGTTAGAAATGCCGTAAATGGCACGACCCGGGTATCAGGTTTCTTAGCCAGTCAGGCACGCTTTACACCTCGAGCAGGGGTCTTGGATGTCTGCGACAGAGTATCAGCACAATATTTTCAGTACGCTTAATGCTAGGCAAGGATTCGCCCCATCACTGGATACTCACAACCCCAGCCTACGCGGTCGCCGACCTTGACACTCGTAAGCTTTGGGGCAACTTGCTCGACGACACCTACAGGCTCGTGGCCGAGGACCATATCATCTTCCTAGAGGAATTGCACCCTGTCGTACGACGTCATTTGCACGGGTCAGACAATTTTATACCCGATGGGCAAGCGTGAATGGACTCACAGTCCGCTCCGCAAAGCCCACCATGGATGATCCTAATGGCTACACTGCCATCTTTGATCTCGACTTCTTTCTCCTTGGCTTCAACGACCTTGCCCGGTCGTGAGGAATCGTAGACGTTTGCGAGCACGACCTTAGAAACGATGCTGACTGGAATCCGCGGAGGGTGATTTTGTGAGATGCTCGAGTTCTGGACTATTTCTGGGAATGGACGAACCGCAGGCGCAATAAAATGACCATAGATGCAAGAGGAAAATGCTCAGAAAGGTTGGAGGCTGTAAGCAGTCGTTACAGACTTCTTCAAGACCCAGATACGCTCACTTCTTTGGTTCACATTGACGAGTCGCCATAATTCATCAAATCCTTCTAGAATTTCCTATGCTCTTGGATAACAATATTCAAGGAACCGACAGGCGCTGATCGCTGACGGCTCGTTGCTGGACAGGACATGATTGGTTGTAGAACGGTGTCACGCTTGGAGGGAAGCTGTGACAGAAAGGGGTGCATACATACTCAGAGAAGGGGCCGCGACAAGTGCCATAGTGACAACACCTGTTGAATTAGCTCAGATGAATGTCACATGTGGGCTGCATCAGCATAGATGGATGTACGTAGCCCAATAAGCTGGGCCACCAGCTCTTTGTTGGGCCTTGCGGACCATGCATACCACTGCACTCATCTGTGGTCATCAGGAGCGTACCACACCCAGGAACCCCCGCGGGCTATTCAGGGCTGGGAGGAGGAATAGGCTCAGAGCTTCCAGGGTCTAGTGCACACGATCGCACGATTAGCAACTGCGCACTGCAGTCAGAGACGACCCTGAATTCGAGAAATAAAGGTGGGAGGGCTGAGCACCCTTTACTCTCGACATGATTGATCCGCCAAATTCGGAACGGGGAAGAATTCTGGGGACACAATACGAATGGATAGGGTGAAGCGCTTGGCGGTAAAGAATGGCCATTGAACGGTGAATGATGTTTCATCGCTGTGCAAGCGACCATTAGCTGGCGAATGAAAAATTTAGTTGATCACCAACGCCCACACAGCGCACGCTCAATTTGTGCGTGTGATTTCCGATGTCCATGCAGCTAAGGATCGACTTTCTCCTTTGTTCAGGGTTGATATTTGAGCTGGACACACATTTACGTTTCGAGCAGCCAGTGAGAGAGGGGCACAGAACGTAGGCGATGATAAGGCCAATCCACGGCCAAGTACTCCCTGTGATTCTACATCTTTGCGGTTGCCAATGTCGCTCATCGCCTATCGCGCGGCATGATGCATCGGCCGAAATGGGCGTAGCACAGCGCGCCTGATGATGCTGGGAGTGTGCAGCTTTTATTTATCACTATTCTATTAATAAGACACTACAAGTCTAACAATAACTACGATTGACGAACGGCGAGCAAATGCGAAAGGCCCGTTAGCCATTTACAGGCTTCCAGCGTCCAGCTCTAGCTGTCACAACAACTTTATGTTTATAGCTTGCGATGACCAGAGCAGTTAGCCAACAACGTACTTTCAGTCTGCTTCTCGGTCTGGTCAGCTTCCCCGGCTCCCACAAACGCGTGGAGAAACTACAGAACACCAACCTATGCGCCGTCTCACCGCGCCAGCTTTTTGAAGGTTCGGAGGTGTTCGGCAGGTCTGACGCAAGGGTTACCGCGTTCCGCCGTCCCACCCTTCCCCGCGGCCTGGTACTTCCTACCGGCGCCAAGGGCGAGAGAGCGCTGGTAGTGCGCATCTCCGTCCGGCTGGCAATTTGTCGGTTGGCGGTTGCTCTCACTGCTCATGCCTTGTTTGTTCTAGTTGATGCAGGACACCCCAGCAGGGGCAGCGGCCACAGTCTATCGTGTGTCGAGGTTCGATGGGGCAAATCGACCCATGCGACGGTATGGTATGAAGGACGTGATAATTGATGCTGTTGACGATGAGCGGTGAGCATTAGAATACACTCCTCTCTAGTCCGTGGAGGGACCCGTGACGCAAGCTGAGTGCGGATCGGCATCAAAGTAACCTACAGCAGCGTGCGTGGGCCTGATAAATAGTATGCAACAACATCTCGATTCAGACGCAGCACCCTCTTTCTAGACCACCTTTGTCTCAAGCTGGAAAGCACCAGCTTCACCACGGTCATCCTGGACCTCAGTACCCCGGAGTTGTGCGTCACACGACAGCGCGGCGCTGCCGACCAGATCACCACGTCAGCCACTGGGCAGCAAGAGACCATGGGGTCCTCCACCTATGGCGTCGAAACAGGAAGCGCGAAAACCCCACCCGCTCCCGGATCCACTCCAACTCCAGCCGCAAGACAAGCCGCGCGACCCACCTCGAGCACTAGGCAAAGCATGCAATTCGTTGAACCGCAATACCATGCCAGGCCTCAGCAAGAGGCAGCAGTGTCCGGGGCCGCGTGTCCGTCCGCCGTCGGCGGTTTCTTTGGCGCTTTGGGAAAACCCCGCTTGCCGAGCGCACTGACCCGCTCCCGCCCGCAGTCGCGCTCGTCAAGGCACTCTGGGGACTTATCCTTGCATAGCCACGATGAAGGAGCAGGGCTGGGAGAAGAGCTCCAGCGCTCGGTTTCGCCTCGTGTTCGGTATGACGCCGATACGTCTGGTGTCGACGCTGAGTTTGCTTTGCACTCGATACAGCACAGGCACCAACATCATGATCGTCATGAGGACGATGCAAACAGCCAGCGGCCACAGCACCATCGCACGCTCTCAAGGCGCAGCGCACGATCTGCGAATCGGCAAGGAACTGCCAGCAATCAGTTGCAAGAATCATCCTCCAAAAGGGCCGATGCAAAAGAAGAGAGGTATGCAAAGGCGAAGGAGGAGGAACAGGGGCAGAAAACACTCGCCGATCAGGTAGAAAATTACGAGAAACACGATGCGCCAATGTGTGACGCAGTGATGAGCAAGTTGGAGCGTGTCCGCAGCAGCGCGAGCGGCCGGAGCGCTGAACGCGGGCTTCGTCCAGCATCACGACCCGGTACAGCAGACGTACACCTCGAAAAGGGGGGCGTTGAGTCTATTTCAACCGCGTCAACTGTCGACGCCGCGCATCTGCACGGTGTCAGCGCGATGGATCCCGTCGCTCCATGGCACGGGACCGCTGTTCCAAGCAGCGGCAAAGAGTCTCAAGACTCAGAAGGCGATCCAAACCTCGTCACGTGGGACTCGCCGACCAGCCAAGAGAATCCACGCAATTGGTCCAGAAAGCGCAAAAGGGCTGTCGTCACCGTTGTCTCGTGCTACACGCTGTTGTCACCGCTCTCATCGAGTATGATCGCGCCAGCCCTGCCGCTGTTGAGCGAGCAGTTCACCGTCACGAATAGCGCCAAACAAAGTATGATGCTCTCAGTATTCGTCCTTGCGTATGCTATAGGTGAGTGAGGAATGTTTGAAGTGGCACTGCCCTTTCTTCCCTTCGCATGGATCAATCATAGCTGATTGGCTGGTGCATTCTGCCCTTTCATGCCTGCCATCAGGCCCGCTCTTCCTTGCGCCGTTGTCAGAAATGTTCGGCCGCCGCATCGTCTTGCAGTGCTCCAACGGTGTTTTCCTTATCTTCTCCCTGGTCTGTGGCTTTGCCCAGAGCAGTGAGCAGCTCACCGCTTTCCGGTTCTTCTGTGGGCTTGGAGGGAGCGCACCCTTGGCAGTCGGTGGGGGTACCATCTCTGATCTCTTCACGCCGGACGAACGAGGGACCGCAATGAGTGTTTACTCGCTTGCGCCACTGCTGGGACCGTGCATCGGCCCAATCGTCGGTGGATGGATAGTGCAGGGCTTGCACACTGATAACCGTTGGCGCTGGATCTTTTGGGCCGTTACGATGTTCGGATTCTGTATCGCCAGCATCGGGATGGTCATCTTGCCGGAAACGTACCAGCCGCGAATCTTGGAGCTCAAGTGCAACAGACTCAAGAAGGAGACAGGTAACCTCAAGTTACACACCATCTTTCAGCTGCAGAATAATGAGGATTGGAAGGCGCGATTCAAACGAAATCTAATCCGCCCCTTTGTCTTTCTCGCCACCGAGCAAGTGGTCCAGCTCTTGGCAATCTACGGTGAGTGGTCATCGCGTCAGGTTCTTTGTAACGCGCTCATAAAACATTGCTGATCAATGCCTTTTTCGAGTCACTCTTAGGGTCCATGGTATATGGATGTATGTACCTGATCCTGACCACCTTCTCGGAAGTGTTCGTTCTCAGATATCACGAAAGCGTCGGTATCTCATCGCTCAACTACTTCAGCCTCGCCGTTGGTTTCTCGCTCGGCGGGCAGATCGGTGGCCGACTCGTAGATCGCATTTACAGGTACTTCAAGGAACAGAATGATGGAGTCGGTCAACCAGAGTTCAAATTGCCGCTCATGATGGCCACTTCTTGCATCCTTCCAGTTGGCATTCTCCTCTACGGCTGGAGTGCCGAGTATGCAGTCCATTGGATCGTTCCAAATATCGGCTCGGCCCTCTTCGGGTTCGGTCTCATGGTGAGCTCTTTGCATTGATGTTGGTTCCCTAGTTCCGGCTTAGCCAGCGTACTGACCCATATCAACCGACTCGTAACCTTCGATTCTTTCGTGCAGGGCGTCTTTCTCAGCATCCAAAACTACCTCGTCGATCAATACAGCCTCTACGCCGCGTCAGCACTCAGCGCCGCTGCTTTCCTGCGCAGCTTGGCTGGATTTGGGTTCCCGCTCTTCGCTCCTGCAATGTACAAGGCTCTTGGCTACGGCATCGGCAACACAATCCTGGCGGCGGTAACGATCGTCATCGGTATTCCTGCGCCATTTCTCCTTTGGAAGTTTGGCCCCTGGCTGCGCGCTCGCTCCAACTATTCGCCAGGCGGCAAGGGTCGGTAACCTTCTGTATTCTTCTACGGTCTTTGCTGCCTTTGCTATCATCCTTGCATTTGATGCACGTGCTTTCTGCAATTTCGCCGGATAGACCCTTCGCAGTACCTCCATTAATTTGTAGTATACTTGGACAACTTTAATCATGCTGCTGTGAATCACTCATCGAGTTCTATTAGTTGAACCAGTCCATCTTCGCCTGCGGATAGCAGCTGGGTTGGATGGCCTGGCCTGAAGCACATTTCGGAGACAGCCTCGGTGTGCGCTGAAAAGCTGGTCTTTGTTCTCCACGTACCGTCGGCACCCTTGACTAAAAGATGGACTTGGCCGTTCTCGAGGCCGGTAGCAATCGTGTTGTCTGTCGCCACTGCGATCGCGGTTGCGGGTCCAAGCATCGTTTGTGTTGCTTCAAGACTGACTTGAACAGGACCGGAAGTCGAAGCTTTGATGGCCCATATCTTCACTGACTTGTCCCTTGATGCCGTGACGAAGGCATCTCCGCCTGGAAGCCAGGCGCAGTCCCATAAAATCCTAGCGTGGGCCTTCTCCAGGACTGCAGCGGGTTCGTATTGATCACTGCTCGTGCTCCACTGGTACAGCCTCCAGCTCCTGTCGCGGCTGACAGAGAGCAGGTATTGGCCACTGGGGGAGAATCGGATCCGTGTGATGCTGAGTGTATGGCCCGCAAGCACACTGACTTCCTTCCAGCCCTTGTTTCGGTCGTGCAGACGAATGACCGCATGCTCTGGCGATGTCGACTTGCAGGAACTGGCGCAAAAGCGTCCATCGGGTGAGGCAGCAACACTGAGCATCTCGTATCCATGTCCATACAGCTTGTCCAACTCGGGCCACAAAGTGGTTACGACGAGCTCCGCTTCTGTTGGCGGGCGGATCTGCGCCGTAGCAACTGAGTTCGATGCTTTTCCCAGCGGCTGGCCACTCTGGCTGGGTTGTTCCTCGATATTTCGTCCTTCGTAGACGGCACGGTTTGAAAGGCCGAGGGGAGGTACGCTAGCCCCAATGGGTCGTTCAGAAGCACTCAGCGGATGCGCACCTGCCTGTTGACCCTTGGAGGTAAGCCATTTTCGGATAGCTGTGCTGCCCACCTTGCTTGCTGCAAATTCCGCCGCATCCTTGCCGTGAACAACGGTCTCTCCTGCAGCTCCGATGACGCCGATCACGTATCGTTCTAGTGGCTGGAGGCCATTCTTCTTCCTCTCGTCGGCGACCATGTTCGCCCCTGCGATTGTCTCATCTGTGACGAGCAGAGCGTTCAAATCGGCATCGGTCCCAGCTGGGCCACAGACGTCCGCGAGCTCGACAACATCCTGCTTGATGGGGAAAAAGCAGCTGCGGAACCGCCTGATGAACGTATCCACGCGGTCAATCCGCTCGGGAAGTCCCTCTAACAGGTGAGCGTTCGATTTCTTTTTCAGCATCACGTCAGCTGTAATGGAAAGATTGAGGTCAACCAGCGGTTACTTCGTTACCATGGACGCACGCCACTCACTGGTGACGCCAACTACGATGCGCTTGGTGCAGATGAGGCATGCCATGCTTAATAGAATCTTATGACCGACGTGCAAATGGTCGAATGTGCCTCCAAGGGCAATAGCATGATGTCGAGGAAATCCATCGTCGGGTGATATATGACGTTCTTGTGCCTGAGGCTTGGGGCCAGGCTTTAAGAGTGTAACTTCGACCGCTGTTTGAGCTCCAACCTCAAATTCATAGTCTGTGAGAGTCGGCGGGCCATCAGTGGTGCGAACATTTTTGTCAGCCTGCTTGCTCACCTGCCACGGAAAAGATCTGCCTCGCACTGCCCAGCAGTTTTCCGATCTGCTCTGCATTGGTTGCTGGGAGCGGTAGGACATCAATGTCCACATCCAATACATCCCGTTTGACTGCCACGCTCCAAACTTGAGCATATGTCCACTTAAGAAACCTCTCGATCGTTTTGAATCCTAACTCTGGTGCAGGACCTGTTTTCTCCGTAAAACTGTCAAAGAGAGACGATACAACCAGGACCGTCAATCGTTGCCTCGATTGTAGCACCTGAGCCACTTCGTGCAGGGGCTTTTGCAAAGCATCCGGATGCAGTAGCTCCTGCAGCCCAGGTAGTTGTAGCACAACAGCTATCTCGGCTGGATCACTTCCTGCATCTGGCTGGTCTGCTCCGAGGTTTTTGACTGTCTCTACGAATCCTCGAGGCGCCTCAAAGATGCGGACGATCTTCTCGTCGGCCGCGCTTGCAAAGGACAGGCGATCAAGCCATGCGACGGAGCTTAGGCTGTACCCGTGTGTCTGAGGTCTTGCGAGCTCGTACCAACATGACCGAAATTTACCACGTTTGGACTGCCCATGCAAGCGGGTGGTTCGATCTAGTCCAGCACTGAGGAACCACGTCCCTTGAGGCTCCCAGGCGACGCCTTTCACTGCTCCAAGGTGTCCCCCGATCGATGGCATAGCAGTCCACTTGGCATCTGCAGATTCGCTTCTGAAGAGGTGTGTTGCGCCGTTCCATGCATGGGCCATCATGGATAGGGCAGAGTCTCCATCTCCGCTCCGTGGAAGCCAACAGGAACCGTAGAAACCGCCCGTCGCGACGCCGCCGACTTCCCCGAACCTCGCAGACGGCAGCCAAAGTGCCGAGTCGGCCAATGTATCTGGATGTGCAAAAGTGCGAAGCTGCCGGTCATGGTGCGATTTTTTATCGCTTAATGATTTCATTGTAGCATTTCCTGATGGGGAAGGCGCCCAGAGGATCGAGCTGCCATCGGCGCCAGCTGAGAGGAGGGCTGCAGGCTGGGCGTGGAGGGTGGGCATGGCCCATCGAACATCATTGACCCATCCGTCGTGCCCGACAAGCAAGGCATCAAACGCAATGGAGAAATGCTTGTCCGTACCATGCAGCTCAGACAGGCTGAATGGGTGCGCTTTGGTTGATACGCCTCGATCATCCGCTTTGTCCTCTTCTAGCTTGGAAGCCAACGTCTCGAAGGCGTCTTTTGGCGCCGTCCATGTTCTCTGCTGCTGTTCTTTGACACGCCAAAGTCTGATACAGCTGTCTTGCGAAGCCGTTGCAATCATGATCTCTACTCGCACATCCGAGGACTGATCCGGCGCAGTGCTGCACATGTCGAGTGAGCGCACCCAGTCGTCATGGCCATCAAGCATGGCCACCCGCTCAAAGGTTGTTGCATTATGTGTTTGGGCAAAAATCATGACCTTGGCCTTGGTGATGCCAACGGCAAGGATCAGACGCCCAGATCCAGGAATGACGCAAAGCGCTGCCGACAGTGGGAAAGCACCCGCCAGATCTAACACCGCAGGTTCCTCGATGGTAGCGTCATCCATCTCGCCGGCTTGCATCCTGCAAATCCGTAATTTTCCATCGGAGCCGCCGGTGACCAGCAATTGCTCGGAAAGAAAAGGTGACACCTGGAATCCAGGTGTAGGTTTGACAGTGCCGATGGTCGAAATGGAGCCAGAATGCAGCTTCTTCCATCTTGCGCTGCGTTTCCAGGTAAGCCGTGCCTCTCTCCGTTTACCAGCTGCAGCACCTGACGCTCGGTGAGGCCGGAAGACGCTGACTGTTCCATCTGTGCAGCCGATGGCGAGCGCTGAGATGACGCCTGCGTACACTGCTGAGCTACCCTGCGGTGCCGTCTGCAGCAAAAAGCGGAGCGCGGTGATTGGGGCATCGCCAGCGTGCAGAATCGACGTGATCCCTTCCGATGCGGAGCCTTGCGGATCTTCCCAGAAGACAACGGACTTGTGTGTAGCATATGCCAGTACTGGCACCGTGAGAACAGTCTTTTGATCTTCCGCTGTCGAGATCGATGCTGACGAGCGATGCTGTGAGCTTGCCGACGACCCTGAGAGCAACACAACGCCTGAGTCTGCTATGTTCGACGCGCGGTTCGCCCCCGTCGAGGCATAGATAAGGCGAGTCATTGTGATAGTCGAACCACTCCAAGGTTTGCCGTGATCCGGGCCTAGGGAGTCGATGTCGATTGTGTCAAAGAGCTCAATGCATGAAGCTTGGCGAAGACCTGATGGATTCGAGATGCCAAACTACCGACGAACTAGGTTGTGCTGTCGACTTTGGCCTGTAATGTGCGCCCGCGTTGCGATTTTTTGTGATGCTTAAACCAGATTCATTCACCCATTCCAAAATGCCAAATACGAGCACACGTTGCTCACTACATCTGCATCCTTGACTCAGCATGTGACCAGGACTTCTGGAATTTACCAGACACAATCTTAGAGCAGATCCTTCTGGAGCGACTGCGACCATTCGTTGGTGGTAACTTTGACGGGCCATCGTGATAATGCCTCCCTCAAGTCTGGTGGCGCCGATTGGCTACTCTCGCTCGACTTGTAACTACTGCGACCCGTCATTGAAACTGATAGAAAAGAAGACATCGTGTACATACGGCGCCTGGGTATGTCTGGCTGGTGAAATGGCACGTATTCGAGACCATGGACGTTTCTGACTTGCGCCGAACTCATAGGCTTATGACCTCTCGCCATACGAGTATCAAGATCTCATTGACAGCAATTGGAGGAGGTCGGGACTATATCTGTACAAGCCTGACAATCTGCGGACATGCTGCGCTCATCTTACCATTCGGTGAATCAAATTTTGCAGGTTGATAGCATTTGGCCATTGTAACTGACCAGATGTCCGCCTGTTCGGCCCCGCGACAGATTGAAAGCAGAGGATTATCGACCCGGCAAACAGCAACGCCGCTCGCTTGCAAGGCTGTACTGGGACGTGCGTGGTGCTCAGCGGCCTTCGAAGAAGAAAGGCAAGGATAATGCAAAATTCGGTTTACCCAAGAGGTGGGCTCAAATAGAATCGACGGCGGACGAAGTCAGTAAGGTTGCAAACAACAGTCAAATGTCTGGGTCAAACAGAATCACAAAATGCTTGAAGGTGAGCATCATCTCCCTTCGACATCTACTTGATCCAGTCGTGATAATACCATATCGGATATATTGGGGGGATTCAGACCAGCCTAGTTCCGAGCACTTTCACGGCAGAAAAGTACTCCCTCTTTCGACGCTACCAGATCGCAATACACAGCCAGTCACCAGGAGACGTGTCCTCTGAAGCCGGGTTCACTCGCTTTCTAGTAGATTCACCTATCCGACGCATGCTACCTACTGCGTCCGACACCAGCAGTGGTCGCAGCGGTATTATATTGGCTTCGGACCAAGCGCTCGATCTGAGTGAAATCGCAGCTGAAGAGGCGGTACCATACGGTAGCTATCATCATGAATACCGCTGTGAGAGGCAATGCCAGTCAAAACTTCGTTCGGCAATGAGTGACCAAACGCCATGATTTTACAGTGGACGACAAATTGATTGCCGTTGGCGTCCTGGACATTCTGCCACACTGTGTGTCTTCCGTCTACCTTTTCTACGACCCAGCATTCTCGCACCTCAATCTAGGCACGATCAGCGCCATGCGAGAAATTTTGCTCGTGCAGCAATTACAACAGCGGCCGAATATGCAAGACCTGGAGTTTTACTACTTAGGTTATTACATTCATGACTGTCAGAAGATGAAGTACAAATCTCAATACAAGCCTAGCGAGCTGCTCGACTTGGTGAGTTTCTGAAGATTGACCAAGTTCGAGACGTGTCTGTTCGAGTAACATCATCAACTTTGTTGCGATGGCTGCACAGCGCGATGGGACTTGGCGTCACTTCGATAGTGTGAAGCCAGCGCTCGACCGAGGCGTACGATTTGACTTCAACTCATCAACAGCCGCTTTCCGTGATCACGGGCACAGAAAATATTCAGTCGAAGGACCCGCTACTCCTTCAAGCTCAATTCCCTCGCCGGCTCCTCCAGGCTTTCTGGACCTGTCGGCGGTCGCCAACCCAAGCGCAATATCTCAATGGGCGAATATATTCGTAATCGACGCTGACGCACAGGAGCAAGGCGCTCAGCCGTTGCTTGTACTGCCGTATGTTTTGGCCGGCAAGATGACCAGTACAGCGAAGGGAGCCAAGGCGTGCAACTTTATTGCTGCCACAGGATTCGAAATTGTCAGCCGATGTATTCTGTTCCTCATAGGAGATGACGGCAATGATGATTGAAATACATATGCTATTCGTGCAGCCGACCTGGGTTCAGGATAGAGCATCCGACTTGGTACATCCAGTTCACTATACGAGTCAGCTTGTTGAAGTATGGAATCCTTTTGGAGTGTAGGGGAAGCTGATATGCTGCTATGCCCGGTCGAAGTGACGACATGCAACTGCCCAGCGACCTCTGATCTTGTGAAAGAGCTCTTTTTGAGCCCCTGCCGTCTAGCAAGCCTCCAAAAGGAGAGCACGGCTGTGACCTGTCAAACTCTTAATCTGTGTATTGATCGAAAGAGTGGCCAGTAAGGGGCGTACCGAAAGGAGAGGGAAAGGTAGGAAGGAAGGAAGCAAAAAGAGAAGAAACAGAAAAGGCACGCCACAAGCCTTTGGCAATTTGGACAAATTTTTTATTGTCTCGAGAAAATGGAGAGCGGAACTCGGAACAAATTTGAAAAGAAAGAAAGCACTCTTTGCATCTCAATTTCTTCACACCTTAGAATCCCCTGCAGCAATATACGATTGCCCTCAATTCATCCATGCTTCTAACTATAATACTTCACCACACCTGCTGCAGCAAGGACCAGTGATCCATCGTCGTGAGGTCATCTACTCCTTCTGATCCAGCCGAGAAACGTGTCGATCACTTCAAAGATACAAGTCTCCGATAAAATGGCGGAAGTGAACCCTAAGGCGTTCCCGCTTGCGGATGCAACGCTCACCAACCAGATTCTGGATCTCGTGCAGCAAGCGTGAGTCTGGAGCTGTGCGATCTTTGGAAAGACAATTATTATGATTCTGATGATATCTCCTTCTCGCCCCCCTGCTATGCCAGATCGCACTATAAGCAGCTTAAGAAGGGAGCCAACGAGGCCACCAAGACCCTGAACCGAGGTATTTGCGAGTTCATCGTCATGGCTGCGGATACTGAGCCCATCGAAATTGTGCTGGCTCTGCCACTGCTCTGCGAGGATAAGAATGTTCCCTACATTTTTGTGCCCAGCAAGACTGCCCTCGGCAGAGCATGCGGCGTCAGCAGGCCAGTCATCGCCGCTTCGGTCACCACGAACGAGGCTCGGGAGTTACAGAGCCAGATTCAGACCATCAAGCAGGCTGTGAGTGCCCTTTGCGGTCATCTGCAAAACATGCATTATGGAAACTTGACTGATTTCTTGCTTGTTTCCGCTCCAGATCGAGCGCCTGCTCATCTAGACGAAGCGTCTAGAAAAGCCCAGCACTGCCAAACGCGTTTTGTAGCATCTTGATAATTTCTAGAGGGACCTCTTCGCTTTCTGGCACTGCCTCTACGCGGGTATCTTGATTGCTATGCTTAATGTACACGATGTTGATGGCTGAGCGAGTGGGAGTGCAGTGTGATGATGGACTTTGGGGAGATTAAACATAGCCTTAGGAGGCAGGCTTGAACTTGTTGTAGTATTCCTTCGCCCGGTTAGTGCTTGTTTCCGGATACGTTTCCGGCAGCTCTCCGACCTGCTGTCCAGGAGAGCCTCCCCAGATGGTCAAAGGCGGCACGACCGTGCCAGGTGCTAAGACTGTTCCATCAAGAATCTGCACACAATCTCGAATCATCGACATTCGGCCCTGCGAAAGTTGCAAAGAACGAGTGCCAAGGGTCAGTGGGGAGAAGATCTGTATACCTAAATGAAGACAATACGCTGCGGCACTCACGATGATGCAGTCTTTTCCAATGTCAACATTGCTGCCTATCACTCCTGCTTGGACGACGGAGCCGGGCCCTATTCGCACATGATCGCCGAGTTTCAAAGTGTAATAAGAGAAGACTCTGCGAAGAAAAGCAGCATTCCATGGATTTGGTACAGCATCCGTGAAGCCTCAAAGTTTGCGACATACCCCTTCAGCGTTCTGTAGGGTGGCCTGATAACGCAACCTTCCCCAAAGATACAGTAACGTCCAGCCGAAATGACGACACCTCCTTTTTGGTGTTGCGCAAGCTGGGCAGCGCTCATTTTTGCTTGCTCCGCAGGTGGTGGCGGAGGTACAGGCCGCTTGAGGTCGCCGCGAATGATCACTCCGTGTTGAATGATGCACTTGCCGCCGAGGACAATGTTCGAAGAGCCAAGAATGGTGGCCTTGCGCGATACCTTGTTTTGGGACCCGGCCTTTGGGGACGCAAAAGGGTCAGAAGGGATTCGTACGAGGTGTGATGAGCATAGTCGTTGCACAAGGTGCATGGACATACTGTCGTGACATATTCGCTCGGGTTGTAGGGCGCTACATGAGCATTGCAGGTAGCCATCTTGGGATCTCTCGTTCGCCGATGTATGCTTTCAACGAGACCTACAACATGGCTTTCGGCACAAAAAGTTGCAAGATGGACTGTGCAACGTACGCAACAGACGCAATTGCAAAGGCGTTGTCAAGTGCTCGAGACCTATAGATAGCCCATACTCAGTCAGGTCGTCAATCGATCATCGGATGGTGATATGCGGCGGTTGGTTGGTCTCACTGAGACTTCTCCAGCAGGTCACGGTCAGTGCCCAAAAGGGTGCATAATAAATAACGCGCACACCACCGCATTTGGCACGCACTCTTTCGCTTTTTTCCGTTGAGGTCATCATCACCATGATCGGCTCACCGTGCCACCTGCTTTGGACATTTTTAAAAAGCCCTGTGAGCTCCCTTGCTTAGGACATACATGTTTTCCTTGCAACTTCAGTTTCCATTTGGATTTCGGCGGGGGATCATTTCAGTCTCCAGGTTATCATGGCAGAGATCGACGATCTGCTCTTCTCCGTGCAGTTTGACGATGACGACAACGAATCGAATGGTGTAGCGGACGTTGGAACCTCATCCAGCGCATCCGTCACAGCGGAGTCAGCTCGTGAGGGGCGCATTCGGAGGGCATTAGAGGAAGCGAAGCGGACATACACAGCCCAGATTGACAGCGACGCCTGGTACCGCGAGGAGCGAGTCCAAAAATGTCTTGACGAGGTGGAATCGATAAAAGATGCAGCAGAAAATGAAGCGCTTACCCGTGCCGTCCGCCATGCATTGGAGACCGACAAGCGATCAGCAGCGAAACTTGAATGGACACTCTCACACCTATACGCAACCGCTCGCTACCTGCAGGCTCTCTCGCTTGCGCTTGCTTGTCTGAAAGCATATCAGATCGACGTATCACCGCTGGCTCGAAGTCAGCTCCAGTCCAAGCCAGGATCATTACTACACTTTCCCTCTGCAAGCGGCCTGAGAGAAAGGCTGATATCCAGAGGGAGAGGAAAGAGTGCAAACAAGCATGCAAACTGTCTGCTCAGCCAGATGGCATCAAGAGAAGTGCTTGACACCGCGATACGATCAATTTGCAAGCTTTTTGGCGGCGACAGCGACGACGCCAATCGTGAGGCCTTGTCAAATCTTGGCAGGCGTCTTGTCGTTCTCGTCGTGAAAGAGTCTCTCTTGAACCTTACTACTTCCTCGGAAGAACGATTCAAACCTCTAATCGACGGAATGGCATTTCAGCGAGAGGCGCAGAACATCCATGTAAGTTGGCCGTGCTGTCACCATCAGAAGGTGCACCCAGAGCTCAACTTTCTCACGCCATTAAAAAGTGGACCGCCCATTCTGGCAGCATTGTCTCAGCAGCGGATCTTTGTCTCGCCATGGGTCACTTATCAGGTAGGTAATACTCGAAATTTCTTTCCTTTGAAACATGACTGAATCAACTGCACTCTCTGCCCTCTTCCATTGGCATGCCAAGACGCCATCGAAGCGTACTCAATAGCCCTGGCATCACGGGGTAGTCAAGCACGATTATACAAATGCGTCGTTTTCGCGCTGAGCCGTCTGAAAGGAGGCGATGTGCGAGCGCAACGTTGCCTGGCGAAAGCATGTGCAGCAGCCGCACTCATCAGCTGCACCACTTCCAAGCATCGCTTGGCGCTCGCAACAGAGCTGGAAGCGTATTTCGACGGCGCGCTCCAGAGCGACGATGCCAATACCGAGGTAGATTCGGGCGAACCAGATATTCACGAAGATGCAGCGTTGATCATGCGCTGCCATGCAGGAGGCTGCCTGACGCTCCTTTCGCTTGTTGCGCTCGTACATGGAGCTCTATCCAAACGCGCAGGAGGAGCTGCTGATCTAGCAGTCAAGTTTGACGATTTTTTTGCGCGCGCCAAGGCTGATGTTGAATCTGCGTCTGCCGGCGACGAGCCAGATGAGGACACGAAAGAAAGCAGGACCTTCCGCTCCGTTCGCACACTTTAAAAGCGAAAATTGTATTGCGTTTAGGTCTATCGAGCACTGCATTTGCATTTGCATGGGAGTCTGATGATACAGTAAGTTGTTTACAGCCTGACCTGTTTCTGGTATGGAGTACAATCGGTGACGCTTTGACCCCCGCTTAACCCGAGGCCGATTTTTGGCGTTTTCTCTCGGTTCTCTCACGACAGAGCCTGGCGGATGGCTGCCCTCTGCGCATCGCTGAGTTTGTCGGGCATCTGCAGTTCCCATTGCACGACCAAATCGCCTTTACGTTTTCCGTCCGTTTTGCTGATCGGCATGCCTTCGTTTGCGATGCGCGTCGTCCGACCGGCTTGCACGGTTGTCTTTCCCGGCCCCGGCCCCGGCTGCGGAAGCGGCACATCGATGGTCCGGTAGTCAAGAGTCTTGACGTTGTGCTTGCTGCCTGCTGATGATGGTTTCGGCGGATCGAGCGCGTCGACGATAGGCAGCGGTAGCTTGATGTGCAGATCGTCGTTCTCGCGCGTGAACCGCGGATGCAGCTTCTCGGTGATGATGAAAACGAGGTCTTGGCTTCTTCCTGGAGCAACCTCGTTACCGGCGCCGCTGAAGCGTACCTTTGTCCCTTTCTTCCACCCTCTCTTTACATCGATCTGCAAGACCTTTTCTTCTGTCTGACCGTTCATGAGTCGTTTTCCGACCTTGAGCTTCTTGGTGACGCCGTTGTAAAGGTCCTCGAGGCTGCAAGGCAGCTGCTTTTCAGAGTCCTTGGTTGCCTCGTCTTCTTGGGGCATGGATGGCATCCCTCCGCCCATACCTCCCTGCATGCCGCCGCCTCCGAAGAAAGACTGGAACCCACCCGGCATCCCACCGCCCCCTCCTCGTCGCCGCCCACCTCCGTTTCCACCCATGTGCGAGAAATCGTCGTCGTCCATGCCGCCACCCATTCCTCCAAATGCGCCGCCGCCGAGGCCGCCAAAGAGACTTGCGAAGATGTCGTTGGGATCAGAGGGCTTGAACCCGCCCGGTCCACCGGATGTGAAGGTGAAGGTAGCCCCGCCCGGTCCGCCAAAGCCAGCGCCAGGGAACGCACCTGCTCCCATACCTGGCCCACCTGCACCAGGCGAGGGCGCACCGCCGCCTTTGAGGCCCTCCTCTCCAAATTGGTCGTATACGGCGCGCTTGTTCTTATCGCTCAGCACTTCGAAAGCCTCTCCGATTTCCTGGAACTTGACTTTCGCGTTGGCATTGTCTTTATTGCGGTCCGGATGGTGTTTCAGGGCGAGCTTTTTGTACGCTCGCTTGAGCTCATCGTCGCTGGCGCTTTTGGACACGCCGAGGATCTGATAGTAATCTTTACCCATTTCCGTGATTATGCGTGAGTATTTGGAATTGCTGCATGGTTGTGTAGAAACATAAGTCAGAATACTCGCATTTCTAAAAACAAAAACGCGATCGCGAACGTGTCACTCACAGCTGCGTCTCGCTTGGGTAGGTAGTGTGGAGATGCTGATGTGATGCAAGGCTATTAATGTGCGTTTGTGTCTTGATGTGTTGACGATGAGCAAGGTACGCCCGATGAAACGTTCGTCTGACACTCAGCCGCGCTAGGTACGTTGTGTACGGCACTGTGCCAGCAACCGTTGCTCTATATCCATCCATGATGGAGCGTCGACCTCGCTACCTATGCTTGCTCGGCACGCGCTGCTCGATTAACGAGATGCATCGATGACATTCGGCCGCCTTCGCTGTGGTTCCTTTTGGCGGGGAAACTCGGAACTCGGAACTCGGATTTAGCTGCCGTGATTTTATATTAAATCTAGCAGTTGTAGTTTGCACCATGCATTGAACGCAAGAAAATAAGGGTTGGGGGGCGCAAGCGGGAGCCAAGCGCCACCTCATGGTGTGTGTCTACCCCATACAGTCCACGCTGCGCAGAGACGAAAACAAACAAATGCGCTTCACTTTTGCAGCCCCTCTCGGATGTGGGTGGGTGAATGCCAGCGTCTTAGTAGTCGCTGCCAGAATCGTCGCTGTCCTCCTCTTCGCCCGAACTTTCGGACGCGACAAGGTCATCATGTCCATGCGCTTGAGATGTTCCTGGTGCTGGATTGAGGGAAAATGCTTGTTATCAGTGTTTAGCGCATTAGACAAGACGTGCGCGAGACGTTCGGACGTACCTCCGTCCGCACCACCTTCAAATTGTTGCAATTGCGCCTGTAATCTCCTAATCCGCTCGCTCTCCTCTCCCTCATCCAGATTCTTCCTCTTCAAGCCTCCTGTCCCGCGTTTTCGTCCATCGCTGGCGTTCTTTGCTGGATTGCTATTTGTCGTCTTCTTGTTCTTTGGCCGGACGACGTAGCGGTAGAGCTTGTATAGCGTCTTGGCGCTTAGATCATCAATATCCAGTTCAATCTCTTCATCGTCGTTCGCGCTGTGTGGCTTATCCTCCGCAATGATCTTCAGTGCGCCTTCGAGGCGATCGTCAGGAAGCTCGGTGATCTTGGCTGCGAGCTCTTCCTTTTGCTCGTACGTGACCACCCTGACGTCCTCCTCATCACTGCCCAGGCGTCCTCCTCCGCCATTGCTTGATTTTTTTGGTTTCTTTGACTTTTTCACCGCACTCTCCGGCGCACTTGCCTCCTTCTTCGGCTTCTTAGCCTTCTTCGGCGCATCTGCGGCACCGACAGACTTACGACGCTTAGGCGCTTCCTTTTTCACAGGTGCAGTCAATGCCGCAACTTCTGGGAGTGCGCCAAGAGTGGAGAGCGTGCCCTTGGCGACGGCTAGCATCTTGGCAGTCGGCTTGCCACCTTCGAGATCCAGGGCCTGCTGTGTGAGCATCGCAATCTGCTGGCGGAGTGCTTGGGCCAGGACTGATGAGATGACAATCCAATAGTTAGCAGTGCACTTTTGTGAGGTTCGAGGCGTCACACAAGACTTACCCGTCGCCTCATCCGGTTCCTCATCCTCATCACTCTCCTCCTCAACAAAGGGTTTGGGCTCTGGCTTTTTCATGAATAGCTTTTCGTACGTTTCCTTGAGTCGCTCCCCCATCAGAGCAACATCCGAGCCAGGCGGATTAAAGGTGAAGCAATTGCGGAAGAGGAGCTGCATGTCCGCGTCAAACTCTTCTCCATCGACGTACTGCCCGTTCTTGACTTTGCGCTGGATGAGCATCAGCGAGATGGGCTTCTTGATCATGGCGTAGTAAGCGGGCGCAAAGTCGTAGCTGCGGTCAGGCAACTCGTAGAAGACCCAGGCAACATCTTGATGCGTCGGCTTGAGAAGGTCGTCGATCAGCTTTGAGCAGAACTTTAGCTCCTCCTTCGCCACCTTGTCCCAATGCATCGCCTCGGCCGGCGTCATGGATGCGCGAGACTTCTTTTTCTTCTTGTTCTTCAGCGCCTGCGGCTCATCGTACTGAATGTCCCGAGGTGGAGGAGGGTGGACCTCTCGCTTCGGTCTGCCATCCAGCGAGATGCGTCGATCCTGCTCGTTGCCAGCGAGGCCGCCAGATGTGCCGCTGCCACTCGCCGCAGCACCAGCGGCGCCAGGAATTCCAGCAGATGGCTTCTCATCCACAAGAAACTCAGGTGGCGGTGGTGCATCGGCGGGCGGGAAGCTCTTCATTTGCTTGTCAAATACGCCGTCAAGCAAATCAGCGCTCTGCGAGATAGCGTGCTGTGGGCCATTGAACGTCCTGCAATTTTGGAATGTCAGGCGAACGTCCCGCTCGAATTCTTCCACTTGTGTGTACACGTCCTTGGCTGGATCAAGCCCCCATTTAGGTGCCAGCTTGACCTTCTCTGTCGGCTTGTTTCCGCCCTTGGCTGCCGCCGCGGTCAAGGCCAGCTTGATGTCCACAGTTCCAAGGTCCATGGGATTGGTTATGATGTTGCGGTAATGAGGGATTCCCAGCAGGACTGGATCAACAGGAGCAAGGAATGCTCGTGCCTCTGTGCGACCCTTCAGGGCCTTAATGCAATTTTGAGCGTACTTGATCTGCCCGAGAGTCAGTTTGATCTCGCCTGCATCGCCGCCAATGATAATCGAGGGGTCAAAATCGGACTGTGTGCGTTGTCGTTTGTTGGGTGGCTCGGCGTCGCTGCGTGGCGTTTCGCTGCTGCCAACCCCAATCGCCACTGCTACCGGCGTCGCTGGAGTTGCGGAGGTACGGGCATGGACTGCTGCTGGGGTAGAAGTTGCTGAAGCTGAGGGGGTCGCCGATACTGATACTGTAGCAGTCACAGGCGCAAGCGCAGACGTAGACGCGGCTTGCGCCGACTGCTGAGCGAGATTCGATTTGGGCTCGGCCATGCGGCTGACAGGCCCGTCCACCTTGGTAGCGCTGAGCCCAGCATCCTTACCAGGTAAGATGGCTGATGAAGAAGGCTTGATAGATGCATCTTGCGGGACAGAAACGGCAGGCGCCGTTTGTGCCGCGTCTGCTACCCTTGCACCTACGCTTGGCACATCAGCTCGTATGTCCATCCCTTCAGTCTTATCATGGGAGTTGCTTGTCCCTGGTACATTCACGTCGGGCGCTGCAGGGGCTGACTCTGTCGCAGCGGATGCTGTTGCCGAAGGTGGCAAGGTGACAGAGTGGCCTAATGACGGGCATGATTAAGCAGCAAATGCTCAGCAACTGGGGGATTTGTTCCCTTGCAAAGTGACGCTGCTTACTTTGAGCTGACTTGACCTTCTCATCTGCACTTCCTCCATTGAGCGCCGGACCCGCGTGATCCGTGCTACTTGGTACCTGCGCATCCACCTGCGGAGTCACTTGCTGCGCAGGCGTTGCAATCGCTGCGGCGTCTGCCAGACCTGCGATACCATTTACTCCCAAGGCTTGGGAATTCACTACAGCGTCCAAGCTTCCGTCCACCTTTACTGCATCTGACGCTACTTTGTCCTGGTGCTGTTGCAACTGTGCTTTGATAACCTCGATTGAAGTGGGTTGTGACACGGCTGTGCCGGAACTTGTAGCCGCGGTGCTGCTATCCCTGCCAGCCGGTGCTGACGCTGCGCCATTGCCATTGCCAGTTCCATTGGCGCGGCCATTTGCAGATGGAATTGCGCTTTGCGGATCCATTGTGGACGAAGGTGGAGCGCAGACGCACGGGATGAGCGATCGTCACAGACGCGTCCAAGCGAATGCAACGTTCTCGAAGTGCGCGTCCGCGTCTCGCTGCCCGCCTTCGCAGTCTGCTCCGGCCTGGCTACGGAGCGACACCGAGGGTCTAAAGAGCTGTGGATTGGATACTGTTGGTCAGGTGGGTATAGAGAGCCTGTGCACACCTGGATGCAATAGGCGAACGCGAGAGGATGAGCGCGATGGGGCAACGAGACGCGTCACAAAACGGCGCATTTCTTCGGGGCGTTCCAGAACGGGATGGCGGTTGACGGCGTTCGGCCCTTTATATATTCCCCACGAGCCGGTTCCCGCTTCCGCAATGTGTAAATCCACGCTGACCGCGCTCGCGTTAGGGCACTGCGCCAGTCATGGGCAAACGTCCATTGTCGTCATCGTCGAAAAGGGATGCGCAGCACAGTCAGGCGTTGGTTCTTTTTTTAGAAAATTGAAAAAAATCGGCGTTGGTTCTTGCCTTCTCCGAAACTGCAAAAGGTCGAATCAGCCGCGGCAGCCCATTGGATTTACAAGAAGAAGCACCAATTAGCAGACTTGTAAAGCCTCACACCTAGTCAAGCCGCCAATTGCCCTCTCCAGCTTTCTGAAACGCGAAAGCACGCAGAATATCCCAGTGATACAGTCATCCTGCCATGAGCAAAGGTGTCTTCTGTCTGGAGAATCTCCAGACTGGGCATCGAGGCATAGCACACTCGTGGATACCCGGAAAGCAAGCTGCGGGCCGGTAGAACACACAGAAGCCGAGGAGTTAGCTCGGCGCTGCAGCTTCGGTGCGGGGGTTTGTTGGCTGACTCGATTGGTACAGCTCCTGCATTGCTTGAGAAAGTGCTGCTGGAGCAGGACTTTCCATACAGAATACGAAAGCACGCTCTGTCACTGGGAGCAGGATCTCGGCCCCATTCAGCTGTTTTCCTCACCTAGCTGTGGGGATAAATGTCTCTTCGACTTGCAACCTCTTGCCTTTCATTCCCGCCTCCGCAATCGCCCCCGACCCAATATTTCTTCGAAGGCATAAACAACGACGCCAGCATCAGCGACCGGCAGGACGGAACGGGCTGGTTCTTTTGCAAGGAATCCATCATCGTCCGCTCGCCTTCTGAAGAGGTGCTCAACTGCAGCAGCAGCAACAGTAGCGCAGGCGCCACTTTTCTGCTTCTCCTTCCAAAGCATTGCCTCTGCACGACACTCGGCGTTCAGAGCAGAGCAAGAGGAAGGAACACTCGCTAGCCTCAACCCTGGCGAGCGGATCAGGTCCAGGCCCTGTTCACGCCACTGTTGCTGTTACCACATCAGCCCAATACGACGAGTCAGCATTAGGATCGTCAGCGAAGTCTGCTGCAAAGACACCAGCAGGCGTTGCAAACGGCATAGGAAGAAGAGAACCGCACACGGAGGGCCATTAACAGGAAAGCGAGCAGGTACCCATATCTCCTTTCCTCTTCCATCTCCTCTTGGCCGCCTTTCAATCGTGCTCGGTGCCACAGGTGCTTTGTATGCGCTCGACAATTACCCCAAACGTAACTCTCATCTTTTCTTGCAGGAAAGACCAATCTCCATTGGTCACTGAGCAGCAACAGCAGCTAGCGTCGAAAAGCGCAAGCAGCTGAATCTTGGTGTGCACAGCAGCAGCACGACCAAGGCAAGCTGTTCTACGAGCGGTTAGAGGACTAGGAGGCTCGGACAAGATCGAGCTCGCTAATTTCTCGTCTGGGATCCACCCAGGAACTGAGCGGGGACAACCTGCTCCTTATTTCAGGTTATCTCTCGAAGGGATAGCAACAAGTACCAGTCGGTCTCTCCAGTTGCGAGAGGCGAACAGCCTGTGCAGCAGCCAAGCAAAAGATCCACGCCAAAGCCCGACTCGGCGCTCAGCTGGGAGCCGCAGCTTTGCCGAGGCTTTCCAATCTCTTCGTCCTTTAACCCTTTCGCGAATGCTCTGAAGGCGGTCCTTCCTGTCTCTCAACTTACTCTCCTCGACATAAACATCGGCAGCGGTAGCAGCAGCAGCAACAGCAGTGGCAGTAGGAGCGCGAAGGCGACCACCGCTGCGGACAGCATGGCGGCGCAACCCAGTGCTGGCGTTGGCGTTGCTGCGCTCTTGCATAGCTGGTTTGGCTACGGCTTTGCAGGGAGCGTCGGTGACGCTGGGCTGGATGGCTCACAGCAGCAGCACCTTGCTGTGCGCTCGGTGGCGGCTTCAGGCGCTTCATACGCAACGTCCGAAAGGCTATTTCCTGCAGTGTGGCGCTTTACAAACGCGCCTGGCACTACCGCCTGGAATGCTTTCACCCATGTGGATGGCGGGTTCTTGCTTTTCTTGCTTGGTATTCTTATTGGCCTGATATTCGGTGCGTATTCCTTCGGGCGGTCAAAGGATAAGGAGTTAGATGACAGCCTATTGACTTTGTATTCTGCTCTTCAGCCGCGTGGACGAACCCAGGCGACATTTCATTCCAGTCTTTCTTGACCGATCTGACCTTTAGGGTACGCCTCAAAGCCATGCACGATGATCTTGGGTTCCAAGCGAGCGGCGAATTGCACGACGACGAAGAAGAGGAGGCACCCGTCAGCAGGAATGGAGCTGTGTCTGGCAGCAGCAGCAGCGTCAAGATGCTTGGCGTCACAGCAGGCAAGAAGCGCGATCATCTTGGCGTCGCCGGCGCCGCCTCACCATCAACTATTACAGGCAGGGCTGCGACGAAAGGTCAATCAACATCTCTGCCTCTGGCTGCTTCGTCCCTCTCCGCATCGGCCGCAGGCAAGCGTGATGATCCAGCAGCAAGCATGGACATGGGTCCTTCACCACATGTCCTCTCCTTTGCCAATCACCTATCCATCTCCGTCCAGACGCCTCCGTACAAACGGTACGACTATGGAATCTTCTCGCTTGTCAGCGTCCAGCGGCGTTGCGCAACTGTAACCGCAGTAGACATGGCGGCTTCTGGCGGTGGGAGATCGGCGTCAGTGCCTACGGCGGCCGGCAAGCACGGCGCTGCAACCGGAGCGAGTAGTGTCGGTGTTGGAATGGGAAGTGGCAGAATGGAAGATGACTTTAGCAGTGCTGGGGGCGCCGGCGGGAGGAGACGCGGCAAGGCTTTGAAGAGGCAGCAAGCGACAAAGGAAGTTGCTGGCTCCGTCAAGCGCCCCTGTCCTGCTGGTTCTGCAACTGACTTTTCAGGATATGGCAAGGCTTCGACTACCAGGCCTGATGCAGACGGCAGCATACAGCATACAACCCCAGTGATGGGGATGCTTTCGGCCGTCGAAGAAAAACATTACTGGTTCCTAGGCATTTTCGGCCAATGGTTTGTCGGCTCGCCAGGTTGGTCAAACACTTTTTTGGAGGACACGCGTGGCCTGGCAGATCCGTGGTACCATCCGCCACTGTCGCACCAGAAACGGACGAGTGACGAAGGGTGGGGCATTATCAATATGTCGAATGACTTTTCGGATAATCGTGAGTGCTTTCTGGTGAAGATGGAGTTACCAGTTAACCGAAAGACGCTGATCTTCTATCATTTACTCATCCAGATGACTATACGGACGGCACCTTACGAGCGCTTGAGGCTGGCGATGTGCTGGAAGACGAAGATGTCTCACGCGAGTCGAGATCTCATAGACTCTTACCTGATGGGAGGGAAAACACCGAGCACGTGCATGCGCCTTCTCCATCGGATGAAACGCTTCTGCCGCCAGCGATTGCACCGTCATCGAATAAGGCACGCAAGCGAAAGGGTCCGCCGGGAAGGCAGAAGGCTGGCGGCGCTGCTGGAGGCTCATCTCCTCAACAGTCGCCTGCTGCGCTATCGTCTTCCGGAAACCCGCAAGATTCTGGCGCACAAGCTGAGAATGCAACTGGGCCGGCTAGTCCGAATGTTCGAAATCATCATCGCAAACTGGTCGCGCCGTCATCAGGGGCATCTTTGGAAACAGCTTCCGCAAGGATTCACGAGGGTGACCATGCGCAGCGCAGCAGCGAGCAGGCAGATCTCGAATCACTCATCGCCGCAGTGGCATCCTCGAGGGCAGCTGTCGGAGACTTAGAAGGGCAATTTGAAGCCTTGCAGGCCTCGAACAACGCCACGAAAACATCACTGCAGCAACAACTGGAGGAGCTGCGGGCAAAAAAGAAGGAGGAAGACTCGGTGCGGAGCGACTTGCGTAGCAAGATGAAGGGACTCGATGAGAGCAAGCGTGTGGCAGAGCTGCATCGTAAGGACGCAGAGCGTAAGCTGAAGGCTGCGTTGACTGCGCGTGAAGGACACCAGACGCGCATTGAAAAGCAGTTGAACGAGATCAAGGCGCTAAAGCAAACAGCGGAAATGTGCAAAGAGAAGCTCGAGGGCAGTCAGCAAGAGCGGTTGGACAAGGAAGTGCAGTTAGAAAACGACAGGGCCGTGAAGGAGGCAGATCTGAAGCGCATCGTTGCTCGGGCTGCTGATTTGCGACAACGGGAAGGCGACGTGCGGAAGCAACTGCTTGCAGCGAAGTCGGGTCTCGAAGAAGCACGCGTGCGGCTGCAACAACGACAAGCCGCAGCTTTCGAGGCAGTACTTCGACAAGCTTCCGAAACTGTCATGCAACAACAACATCGCTCAGTGTCGAATTCGGCCATGACAGTGCTCGAGAACGACATTACTGCCTCAGAAGCGCTTTTCGACCCCACAGCAAAGCTCGCTGCGCCACCGACAATCTATCCATCGCTTGCCGGACCAGGCGACTTGTCCTTGACTGAGCCGGACCTCAGTGGACTACCCGAGAGGCGTGGCCTTTACTCGGTTAACGATGCAATGTCTGCTCCAAGGCTAGTCGCTCCCATGCCGCTGCAACGCTTCGGCTTCGATGCTCGCACCAATGACGATGACCACGCCGATAACGAATTTCATGACGCGGAAGAAGGACAAGAGCCAGAGGTACCAACGAGCTTCGTCAACGGCAGATTCGCTCGGATGACTCAAACCGAGGCTCTGTTCTATGAGAACGACCCTTCGACAATGATGCCTGCGACGCCCATCTCGCCCTTTTCGACTGGGCTTCTGCCAAGTAATCTCTTTCAAAATCTGGATGAGGACGCTCAAGGCAACCTTGTCTCTCCGAGCCATGTCAATTCTATGTTTGCTCGATTCGGCATTCCTGCACAATCGGACGGTATTTCTGCAAATTCTGAAGGCAGAACACACATGTCCATGGACCCTGCAGAGATAACCTCTGGTCGGAGCGAGACTTCCGATGCTGCCCAACTCGAATCAGCTTCCGAGGCAGAGATGGGGGAGGGTGACAAACCGATGAGGAAGAGCATGTCCTCTCGTCGCAGCTGGTGGGGGAAGCGAGCGTCAAAGGACACGTCTGCGGAGGCGTCCGCTTCGCCGGCGCCTGACGCCGGGGCTCGCTCTAGCGAAACGGGCGAAGAGAATACTTCGGATGCAGATGTTGGGAAGCGGCGTTCCTATGGCATGTTTCCTCGGATTTCGATGAACCCATCAGCAAAATCTTTCCCTGGGTCGGCGCAGCCCGGAAGTAAGGCCGATCAAAATGCAGCCCGGCAGGTGCCTTCGATCTCACGTCCAATCGGACCGCTCATTCCGCTCAACAATACGGTCAATGGGACTTTATCTTCGGACTACGAAGCGGTGCGCCGTGCATTTCAGTTGCCTCTTGGAGCTGAGGACGAGGAATCTGGGCGCAACTCGTGGTCGGCATTCGACACATGGCAGGCCAACGAAGGTGCACGACGTGCAATGTTACAAGCGGCGCTGACCCAGCAGAACAGCGGAGCGCCCATCACGTACGACCCTCGCTTCTCTTCTGATTCGCTGCCATTGGCTCTGCATCAACGCGTGGACCGCTGGCAGGGCAGCTCTGGCAATTTGCCTTTGGACAGAACCACGTCTGCTGAACTCAGCACCAGCGATGCTAGTTCCGGTGTCAGCCGCGGGAGGAGCGTCAGCAGCCGCTTGGCTTTCTGGGCTTCGAACAGCGAGAACATGAAGTCGGTCTCGCCTGCGCGGACGCCAAACCTTGACACTGGGACTGACGCCGAAGCGAGCTCGGAGCTCTCATCCTCACCAAACATGGCTCGCACGCCCGGCTCGCGCCGTAAATTCTGGTCTAGGAAGGCAGAAGCTGAACCTGAGCCTATGTAAAGTCGCTCATGCATTACATGGTTCGCCCTGCACTTTTACTCTTCATCGTCAAAGAGTGCCGCTGCAACAACTCGGCCTGCTATCATGTTGCTGTGCGCATCGCCATTGAGGCTAGACGCTTTCGCTTCCAAGCTCGAGATGTTGGATCCCGAATATGGGTCGACATCGCACTCAGGTCCACGGTAGAACCCGTTGCGCAGCGCAAACGAGACGTACTCGCGCCAGTACGGGTCTTTGCTGAGGAGCCTGGCGTTGCCAACAACGATTAGCGCCTCTTTTGCTCTCGTTGTGGCGACACACAGACGCTTGCGATCGAACATGAGTCCCACACCTCGCTCGACGTCGCTTTTGACGAAACGTTGACGTGAGCGCACAGTTGACACGATCGTGACTCGATGCTCGGCGCCTTGGAACACCTCGACGTGTCCTACATTTACTTGGCTCAAGCCTTTGGCACGAAGGCGCAAACGCAAACGCCAGACTTGCTCCCTATAAGGGGTGATGACGGCGATCTCTTGAGGCAGGACTGTAGCACCGCTCGTGGGCAGGCCGGGCGGGCCTTCGACTTTACCAGTGAGACTTTGGATAAGTGCAACAATTTTATCCGCTTCGCCTGGGTCTGCAGAGGTCAATTAGTCGCCTTCAGGTTAGCCCAAAAATCCGTAGATCAATCACGCTGGACTCACTGTGCCAGCTGACGCCTTCGTCGACCCATACATCGGGACTCTCGACATTCTCAAACAACAAGGGAATCTTGGGATTTGGCAGGCCGATCCATGCATTGAGATTGTCTTTGCGCGGTGCGCAAGGCAAGAGCGCATCATGGTAGAAGAGTGCGGACGGCACCATGAGCAAAGCGGGATGCGCAGATCGATAGTTGCGACGAAGACCGCAGACCAACTTGGAGGCCCTGCTCCACTCCACCGATGAAGCCGCTGACCCCTTCGCCTTGTTTCCCGAATCATGAAACTTCTGGCGTGTACGAACCGACCGCAGCGACTGCGCGTAGACCTTACGTTGAAGCAGGCGCTCAAAGAGCGACCAATCCAAGCCATGCGATCGCGCTTCGTGCGACGTGATGCGAGGACCGAGCTGCGCCGCGTCTCCGCACAGGCAGAAGACAGGCGCGGTCTTTGATGAGGGCAATGGTAAAACACAAGCGATCGCCGCGGCCAACTCCGCTTCTGTCCCTTGGCCCGCTTCGTCGACGAGCAAGTGCGTCCAGTGTAGCGGAGTTTCTGTGCGCTCCGGATCGTGCGGATGCAGGCCTGTATTTATTAGTTTCCCGAGACGCTGGAGATCAATGTTGGAGCAGCGGGCTCGCAGAAGCAAGGGCACGTCGGACGTCGCCGTGACGATTACGCGCGCTTTCATCAGCTGGTGCCAGGGCGGCAGGCTGAATGCACTGACTCCATCCGCATCAACAATGTGGCAGAACATGATCAGCTCCTCGGGTACTTCTGCGAATGTGCGGGTTGACGAGTTGATACGGAGCAGCTGGCTAGGCTTCAGCGTGCTGCTGAGGCGCAAGGCGACGGTGTCTGCAGCAGTGTCGCTCGGAGCGCATAGCAGCACGCACGCTTGCGGCTGAAGGCTGACGATCTGCAATGTAGCTTCGCAGATGGTTTTGGTCTTGCCAGTGCCTGGCGGACCGCTGATCAAGTAAGGAAGCTTGGGATGTTGCGAGCAGAGGTAATCGACCGCCTCCTTCTGTTCCTCGTTGAGCAATGTGTCAACGTATTGCATCTTGCTGCGCGACTCTGCTTGGACGGCAGCGCCATTGACTCGAGCAGTGCCTTTTGCTGTGCTGTTGAGCATCTTTGTTCGAAAAGCGGAGGCACCCCCATTCGCTGATCCCCCAGCCTGACCGACGCCGTCCGAGCGGAGCTGCATATCCAAGAGCTTAAGATCAGATTCATCGGGGAAGAGCCATCTCCTGCAGACGTCTGCCGCTTCTGAATGGCGACCAGCCTTCTTCGCGCTGCGCTCCTGTTTGAGAATGTCGCCGATCCTGCACAAGCTGACATGCGCATCGCCCAGCTCCTTCTGCGAGTTGATGAAAACGACATTGAACTCGACCTGCTCCTTCGTACCGACAGCGATTGCATTCTGCCCCGCCTTCCTTGCAAACGACTGATTGGTTGCAGAGGCTGGCGGTGTTTCGAGAGTACATCTCCAGCGCTCAAGCGTATCCTCAAGCCGATGGCACTGGATGATGGCCTGTCCCGCAACGGCCTTGAGCGCCCAGACGCGCGCTTCGAAGACCGTCTCGAACCAGTACCGCTGTTCGTAAAGGATTGGCCGGAGGTGCAAAAGGTCGCCGATGCGTAGCTTGGGCTGCTCCTCCCGCAGTCCAGGTATGTTAAGCACGAAAAGATTGCTCAGCGCCGGATCGTGCTCTTTCAGTCCGACCGAGGCAGGTTGCTTGAGCCGATAGCGGGCTAGCTTGACACGATACATGGCGTGCCGGTCCAATTGTGCCGTCTTGGCCGCCGACTCCATTTGCAAGAGCGAAAGGAAATGATCGGCGTACGTTTTGGACGTGAGCGGTGGTACTCTGATCGGCGTTCCCGAAGCGGAATCTGTACGTTTCCCTTCAGGTCCACCCGCCGTAATAGACACCACGCGCGGCGCGTCCCTCGACGCCTCCGCATCGACGGTTTGAGCTCCTTCGCCACTCCCATTTTCTGCCATTGCCGGTGTGACTGCAGGAACAGCACCGACGGAACGACCCCAATCGGCGCCTTTCTCTTCCTCTTGCTTGGCAGCTGCACTGGAGGCTGATTCAGTGTCTCTCGTGTCCTCTTCAAGCGCTGCATCAAGGGCGCTATCTACAATGCCACCGAGTCCGTGTGAGGGCAGCCAGGCGTCTCGATCGAGCGGTTGCAGCTCCACTTGCCCCTCTGCTGCCTCAGCGTCGGATGTTTCTTTTCCATCCTCGCTCGCTTGCCCCTCGCTTTGCACATCGACGCCGTCTAGCAGCCAGCCACCATCCTTGTCCTCGAGCAGATGCTTCGGCAGGAACCAGCTCGCGTAGCTCTCTGGGTCGAAAGCTGCGCCTGCGCCCATTCCCCCGACTCGGCCCTTGCCAGTCTCGGATGCGCCATCCCTGCTATGATCAGTACCATCAAGACGAAGCATCGTGTACTTTTCGGCTCTGTTGACATCCTTAAGCCAAGCAGGAATGTAGACGGCTGCATAGACATCTAGGTTGGTTTGCGCTTGTGCGTTCGATTGTTGTCCCACTCCTTCAGTGGCGGAAGAAGCTGCAGCAGGAACCACAGAGATGGAGCCAGGCTGAGGGTGAGGCTGGCCTGGTGCTTGCTTTTGCAATGGAGTGACCTGCTCCGCTGCTGACATTTGTGCGCTCTGCTGACGGCCTAGTGAGCTCACAGTCGGGCTAGTCATCGGCATGCGCGAAAAAGGCAGACCAAAAGCGTCCTTGTCTGTCAGGAAGCCATGGGTAGTAGCGCAAGTGTCACGTGTATGACCAGCTCTGCCGCTCGTACTTCCATCTCTGCCAGCGCCAGTACCGCTGTCCATAATGCTGGTCATAACGCCATTGCTCGCGATCGAGGGCGTAGTGACGCTGCCAGAGCCCAAGGTGGAGTTACGAAGCGAGGGGTGCAACGCCGGTGAAAGCCCTAGCCCTGGCGGTGGGACGGGCGGTGGACCTGGTGGCGCCATACTCATTCCGTTGAGATAAGGATGAGCTGCTACTGCTGGTGGAATTGGTCCGGGAGGGAGGCCGCTTATCCCATGGTATGGCCAGCTCTGCCTGGGATAATGATGAGGTAAAGATGTGGAGGGGTTAGTGGCAGCATAGGCAGCCAAGCTAGGTGGGACTTGCGAGTCGGAAGGCAGCATTCCAGAAGGTGTCGGATGTACAGGAGAGAGGGGATATTGCTGTTGTGGATGCTGTTGTTCCGATGAAATGTGCTGATGCTGATGCGGATGCTGTTGCTGAGATTGCGGCGGCTGGAATTGCATCTGCATGTGCAATGGCGGTAACGCTATTGACCCTTGTGCCTGCATTCGCATCTGCGCAAAGTAGTTCTCCATGGCAAGGAAGTGCTGGTGTTGCATCCAGCGCTCCATTGCAACTTGATCTCCGGCTGATGGTGCTCCTAAGACGGTATTAGCACCGGTTGCGATGGCCGCCCCGCTTGAACTCAACTGCGAGGGAAGTTGAGGCGTCATGATGGGCGCGCCTTATTGGTGACCAGATCAGTTGGATCTGCTCGCAATTATTGTCCTACCCCTGAAGACATTTGAGGTGGCGATATGTAGCTCGACTTCGCCTTGACCCGAGTTTGTCTGCTGAAGGAGCCTCGCCTTCGGGACGGCTCGTGCGATACTGAGGCCGGCCGCGAAATCGCCCACCCGGCGGCCCGCGATCAAAGACCGGACTTCCGTGCAAATGCAAGGAAGCAGCAGTAGCACGGCCAACGCAATTGGAACAGACCGAGCCGGAGCTGGCCAAACCAGGCCGAGGTCTGGATGGACTGTAAGCAGCGATGGTAAGTTCCCTGTTGGGGGAAGGAAACCCTCCGTTGTGGCCGAAAGTGATGTTCTCCACAACTGGACCCATGATCCATTGTACAACAGTTAGTTACAAGCACTGTTCCTTTACTCTTTCGGAATTCGGGATTCGGAGTTCGGATCTTACGTCAATGGAGTTAGAATATGACTCATCTGACATGTGACGTTCGCCCCGGCTGCTGCCCCGCCACCGAGAGATCATATGCAGACACTGGATGACATGAGGGTCAAACGTTGCCACATTCGGTAAGCATGTTGATCTTTACATTGACCCCCAATGAACCAACCAGCCTGGGTTCGCTCTTTTCAACTTCCATCCACCGGCCGATTTGAAAGACGGACATTATCCTATACCGCCGTCCTCATCCACCATTCATACGCGCACACCGAACAGCAAGCCACCAGCCCTTAAGGCGATCCAGCGAGGTCAGCAGGAACGCGTACGCAGCCCGTGGTCATCTGGGTCCTCGACGGGGCATATCATGTCTGCACTCTTGCACAACGTTCTCACCTCACGACTCGCAGCTGCGTCGCTCGATCAGCAGGAAGCCAGCGAAAGTGGCGGCAAAGAGGGCCAGGAGAGGGCTGATGCTGAGGTGCAGCAGCATTTACAACAACGGCTTCGCGTCGACTCTCTAGCAAGCCCGAGCGATGATGAAGATGAGCTGGTCGGTGAGTGGCACATGTACAATTCCCTCGTTGAATCAGTTGATTCACGGTAGCTCGTGCCGACTGCAGGCGTGTCCACAGCGCCAGGGACATCAACACCGACGCCGTTCAACCTCTCACGGCCCTCATCTCCACCGCCAGCCGATCAAGCGGCCACCACTGCGCCCTCGCCGCCACTGCCCTCGTCCTTATCACCCCAATTAGGAAGTTCTGGGACCGGCAGCGCGAGCGCAGCAAGCAGCTCCGCCTCTTCCCCATTGCTGCTGCCGACTACATCGCCACGGAAACGTTCCGGTCTCTCCAGTGCCGCCGGCGTCAGCGTCGGCACTAGCAAAAGCAACAGCATCCCGGGCAGCACCAGAGGGCAAAAGTCCAAATTGGACCCATTACGCGCCTTCCCATCTGAGCTGTCTCAGCGCATTTTTCTCTCCCTTCCCACGTCGGCCTTGCTGTCCTGCTCGCTCGTGTGCAAACGCTGGCGACGAAGCGCGACACTCAATTACTGCTGGTACAAGCAGTACCAATCGACATTTGGAGGCTTGAGCGATTCGAATGCGTTCGATCCCTCAGTTAGCGGCCCATCCATCACGTCCGTTACTTCACTTGCAGGGCCTGTTGGCACCTGCGAGCGCATGGCAGAGAACGGGATCGTGCTACCTCCGTTAGGCTCCGGCGAAGCGAAGTGGACGCGCCGCGAGAGCCGGACCGACTGGAAGAACATGTACGGGAAAGCGCGTCGACAAGAGGCAAAAGACGCCGCGCGCGCCGCGCTAGCGAACAGCAACGGCGGAGGCAGCCTGCCCTTCTTGGGCGGCACCAGCGCTTCGCGATCCGGCTCGGGCACATCCACGCCAAGCCGCTCACAGCGCCTCGCCGACGCGGGCATCCGCACCGCGCGCGACGTGCGCGAGCAGCAGTGGGCCGAGCTGAAAGCCGCCGAAGCGGCTCCGCGCATTTCCAAGAGCGAGATGCGCGAACATTACAAAGGCCTCGGCTCCAAAGGCGGAAAAGTCAAGGGCAAGACGGGCAAGGGCGGCGTCAAGACTGGTACAGCTGGCGATGGCGGGCTGTGGGATTGATGGGCGAGACGACCTTGCTATGATGCATCCGCAAAGGGAGCATGCCCCGCCGCTCTAATGTGCCGTTCTTTTGCATCAATCCATGCCGTCTGATGCTGCATTCCCTTACCAGAACTCTTTATCGGATTGTGTTTACAACCATTTAGCTCGTGTTGGTACTGCAATATGCATTTGCGGATTTGATCCGCGGTTCCCTGTTCGGTCTTGCACATTTTCACGAACAGCATTTCGAGTACCTCCAAACTTCTTGAAGCACCTATGTTGCAGCAGGAGACTTGGGCTTCCTGCTGAACGACAGCTCGCGCAGCCTTCGCCTGGTGCACGACAGCGAGTCGGGCGACAAGCTCGGCGCGCCATTGCTGTCGAGCATTGCGCCTGCGTCAAAGCGTGCTTCCCACATCTTTGTAGGGGCGCGAGGGTGCACTTCGCCATTCTCGCCGAGTGCGAGTCCATGACGCGGCAGGGCTTCGTTCCCGTTTGAGCTCTTTAGCTCTGCTACTTGCGAGGTGGTGCCGTGGAGATTCGCCGCTTCAGCAGTCCCTGTGGACGTGGTCGCGTTCATCATAGCCTCTTGCCGCATCCGGGCTTTCTCGCGCCGCGCGGACAGCACTTCAGACTCGAATTCGCTTTCGCTGCTCGACGTGTCTTCATCATCCTGCCTTGTTGTCGGGGCCGCCGTTTCCCGACTCATTGCGCCAGATTCAGACCTGCGACCCTGCAAAGTGTACAGCGGCATCCCACTGCGGTTGGAGAGGATCGTTCTGCAAAGCGCTTTCCGCCGCCAATAATCGATCCCAGACGAAAAGGCGTCTGCCGGCGGCAACGCAGCACCAGCGACGGATGCGGCCCAAATGCCCTGCACGGCGAGCCGCGCGCTTGTGCTTTTTGCACTCTCTCGCGCGCGGTCCAATTCACGTTGCAATGCGCTTTGCAGGGAGATGTGATCGAAGGTCGTGAGGCAGCGCAGCGCCAGCGAGGCAGGACGCATGCGCTTCTTCTTTGTGCTGCCGACGCCCTCACTGCCCTTGGCGCTGGCGCCCGCCATGATGCCGGAAACGGTGTTACCTCTGCTCGAGGATGTGCTGCCGACGCCGGACTGGACAAATGTCGGAGAGCTCGGTGCGAGCGCTACCAGGTGAGCGCAGTCGTGCACTTTGCGATCGAAGCGGAGCTGCAAACATACTCTCGGCATGGTCTGCGCGGTAGCGTGCGAGTAGAGCGGAGGGTCCACCGCTACACCGGTCGCTTGCGAGCGAGTGCTTGACAGCAGCGACAAGCTCCACGTCCCCGTCGTCTTGTTTTTCTCGTCGACCTCGGGAGGTCTCTTGAGCGATTGCTTCGGTCGGTAGATCGCCAGGATCCCGCCATGTATCACAAGCCTACGTAGCTTCCATACGCCGAGGTTGCCATTATCTCCTGCGGCCTCACTTCGACGCTTGAACACGTAGATCCAACCATCCCAATACGTCTGGAGGTAAGTGTCATCTACTGGACGAGGGAGCTTGCGCAGTACGCTCAAGTTCAACGTTCCATCGCTGTTGAAAAAGCTCACATCTTTGAAAGCTGCAGGATTGATCTGCGGGAAGACGACTTCACGCGGAAGATTGATGCAATCATGGGCGGAGAGATACTGGACTTCCAGCAGATCGTAGCGCCTGAGTCTCGCCGTCTTAACTGTGATCCAGTCATCGAGAACCCTCCCATCCGAGTAGACACAAATGACGTACTCATTTGCAAATTCTGCAAAACGCTGCTCCAGCTTGCGATCTTCGCCATCACCATCTCCGAAGCCATGCCCTGGCTCCTCCTTGATATCTCTTCTCAAAAGGGAACCACGCAAGCGGTGGCCGAAATCTGAAGGCGCGATGGAGCTCAGGCTATCGTCGCCATCATGCCGGCTCGACTGAAAATCGCTAGGGCTTGAAGAGAAAATACTGCTTTTTCGCGAGTCGCTCGATATGTTGGAAGGGGTTTGAATGATGAGTTTGCCTGCCACCGTCCTTGAAAGGACAGAGACGGACGCATTTTGTTGTTGCTGTTGCGTTGCATGGAAACCAGTGGCCTTCGCTGACGACGCAGCGGTAATTGTGCCAGATCGCGTCCTTCCAGCTCCGCCAAACCCTTCGTCAACGCTGTCTTCGGCATCTTTGCCGCGATGCGGCTCGATATCCACAGACGAGGCTGTGCTAGAGCTGCATGAATCGATAGAAGCTCGGGGGCGATTGGTTGTGGTGTCTTTATATGAGGTCCAGGTCCATTCCGATGGTAACAGTGCTTTGGCAGCCTCCTGCTCTCTCTCAAGTGCCTCCCGATTTCCCGGAAGCCCAAGCTGGGTCCAACCAAGGTAGGGGTCCTCCCAGCCTTGTCTCGCAGAGGCGGCATTTGGCTTCTTCTTCTGAGCAATTGACTCGACACTCGAAGGCGGAGCGCTATGAAGGTAGGTGTGGTGGCGCATCGTTGGAAGTACCTCCCCAAAGACATCGAGCGCTAGTGGCCTTGGCGTAGTCGAATCCAACTTTGATGCAGGGCTTGGAGCATCGCTTTTGTCCGTCACTGGCTCTGTCTGCGAGGATTGAGCAGACGTTGCAATTGGCGAACGGGGCTGTTGGAGACGATTTTCAGCTGGACCGGGAGGCGGAAAGACGCCGATGCTGCTAGGAGCACGATGAAAGGAGATGCCCGGGGCCGTGGCGACGAATGTATGGGGAAGCTTCAGAAATCGCAGTCCAATGCAGCCATGCAACATGCCATTGACATCATCTTCCGGTCGATGCCATTCTGGCATGTGATCATGTGTGACGGCCACGATCTTGTCAAAGATGCGACGCTTGACGGTGGTGATGGTATCCTCTGGCACGATGTGCAGCCGAAACCAAATATCACGAGGACAGAACCTCACGTACACCGGCAAGCCTGACCGGCCGTCTCCATATCTATCGCTCATGATTGCGGTCCTCGCCTTCGCAAAGCATCCTAGGCCAGATAAGCGCGATCAAGCCGTGATGAATCCGCGTGGCGGCCTGTCTCTCCTGCAAGAACAGAAGCATGTGTGCTGTGCAATGGAAAACTCGGGCATCATGTTATCTGGACCACCAAGGCAACCTTGGGCTTCACATGTGTTGGCTCGTGGGTGCACTCTTCCCAAAAATGGAAACTCGCCGAGAACCAAAGGTCGCCGATCAGGCCTGTGTGCTGGCCTCGGCAGCCGAGAGGCACTATAACTACCATTTGAACCAGTGTCAGTGGACACCAGGTGCACCATATTAGCAATACAACACCACTGCGGATGAACGGTGACGAGCCTGTGCCATCCAGTCAGAGATAGTGGAAAACTAGGATCTGGGGGCTACAAAGGAGTATGTCTCGAGAAGCAAAAGAAATATATATGCTGTGAAGCTACCACTCCGTTGCTGACTTGATTCGCTATCGACGATTCAGCCTGAGTGGAGGCCATACAGGCCTCGGTGTCGAAGGAGGAAGCAGGTCCAGGTGATGGCCGAAGAAGGCTCCTCCAGTTGCTGGAGCACCGTGAGGCCTTGGGCTCGTCCATGACTTTCAAAGGGGAAATGGAAGTCCGCCGACGTGACGTGATCCAGGTTGACATGGCCGAAAGATGCATCTTCTTCGAGAAGCGTGCCGTCGGGCTGAGCGGACTGCAAAGGGGGCGGTAGTGTCTATTTAGCAACCAAATCAGCCGTAGGCGCGCGATAACCCGTGTCCGCAGCTGAACGTCATGAGCCTGAGGACAACGTTCGCTTTAGCAGTGGAGCAAGGTCCATGTTCGGGATTCTGGACATCTGAGGCTGCGTCAGCTGCACTCGTAGAATCGCAGCATACTCGGCAGCGGCAATAGAATGGGCGTGAGTTGGAGTGGTTCTGTGTCGGTGCACAACGCTGGTTCTGAATGCAATCGGCTGCTCGTCGACACAGACTTTACAACACACACGTCGTGGTCCATGACCGCCTGGCTCGCACAGCTTGAAGTCTACGGGAGTAAGGGCATAAAAGACATATATATATATATGTGCGTGTAGGTCATTCCCATCTATAGTTCAGATGAGCGGCAACGGAGACGCGTCTCTGATCTCTCACCCTCCGCAAGGACATGTCGCATCTCGGCAGATCATACGCTGTGAGACATGGCGATTCGAGTTTTGGTAAAATAATGGTCACACTATGGTACCGCACAAGGCAGCTGATGTATCTCTACCTCTCAGACCATCATGCTGCAAAAGAGAGGGTTAGATAGAATCGTCAATTTGTGTGCTAAAAGGAATGCCTGTGGATATGTGAGCCACGTGTTATTTCGCTGAGGAGCCGCCAAATTTTGAGCGGAACGGGGCTGAAGCCTTGTCCACAGTGCCATCAGAGTAGCACCAGAGAGCCGTACGTGTGAAGCGAAAGCCATTCAATTGTGTCGAGGAAGTGTAGCATGTAGTACCGCTCCTGGAGATATAAAAAGAAAAGCTTCAAAATGCGTGATTTACTCTCGGTGTGTTCGGTGCACAGTGTGCCCACACGGTTCCTGTAGAATCTGGCGTTTATCCGCAGAACTTCCGCAGATGGTATGACAAGCGTCGAAGTGCCTGTTCAGTCAGCATGGTCAACCCTGGGTTCCAGTGTTAGCGTGACCTTCAAGTTAGTGACGGGCTTGACTGGTCTCTTTCTCCTCTCGCTTCGATGTCTCGTCGGACAGCTTAGTGTCAGTTGCATAAGAAAAGTCATCTTTCATGATTGCAGCGTCTGGTCTACTCAAAAATCGACGCGAGTGTCAGCAGGAGTGCACACCGGCTTGACGAAAAATTGGGATCTGCAATCGTGCCAAGGCGCGCTCGGCTGGGCGATGCCAGCCCAGTGCCTATACATCCATCATGCCTCTCAACAGCGCTGCACCGCCGGTGAGCAGGAATGAGATTGAGCTATCCCAAAGAACACTCGGACCTCCTCCATCGCTCGTGGACGCCTGCAAATGCGATGCACCAGAGAAAAATGGCGCGCTGCTATCTCGCCAGGCGGACACTAACCTTTCTGCCACAAATCGATCCCCCAATGGTGACTCAGCCGTGACCGAAGACGGTGAAAAGGAGGACGAATCTATAGATTTGAGGGGGTTCGTTCTCCTCCTCATCCAACGTGCTAGCAGGTGCATAATGAGATGGGCGCTGCGCTCCGTAAAAATGGGTGCTGACCGCGACTTTCTTCCATGTACATTAGCTCCTGGTCGTACCGGTCTGCAGAGTTTGCATTCCCACTGTATCTCGTACACCTGTTCACCGACTCACTATTACCCTCTTCCATCTATGGTTTCGTCACCACCGCCGCGGGAATTCTCTTTTCCAATTCGACAGCTTCTTTGGTCGACACGTACAGTCACCGCAAAGTGAAGACGGTGCAGGCATTCGTGTTGGGCCAAAAGCTACTCGCCATTGCATCCTTTGCGCTATTTTTCGTCATCTTCGGGAGCGCGCGACTTACTGCAAACGCTCAAAACAATGGTCGGGGGCCGAGCGTAAAAGCTACAGATGGTTATCCCAATGCTGACGTCTGGGCCATATTTGCGGCCATCACAACCCTTGGGTGCTTGCTCTTGTTGAGCAACGTCGGCGTCAGCGTCGCCGTGGAACGCGAATGGGTGACCATCATCTCAGAAGGCTCTCCGCGACGGCTCTCTCGACTGAATGCATACATGAGGCGCATCGATCTTCTAAGCAAGCTTCTTGCCCCCCTATTCGTCTCGGCTCTGACCTCGGCCGATTACCGTCTGTCGGCAATCATCTTGCTCGCTCTCTGTGGTGCGACGCTCGTCTTTGAACTCATCTTTCTGCCAATCGTGTTCCACCGCTTTCCTCTTCTTGCCAAGGACCAGAGAGCAGCAGAGGCGCGCAGAACGACTGCAAAGTCAGCTCAACATCAAGAACAGGTTGAGCCCATGAGGAGAAAAGCCTTGCGTACACGTGGTATGCATGGTAGCACACGATGGGCTAGAAGATGGCTAATGGATTGGTCGGAATTTGCTGCCATGCCTATCTTCATGAGTGAGCACTGGGTGAAACGGGTATGTATTCGACAACTGCTGAAACGACTGCAATCTTACAGGCTCGGTATCCATCAGTCTGCTTTACATGACGGTCCTTTCGTTTGATTCAACTTTTATCGCCTATCTGAAGACGCAGACTGACTACAGGTTCGTTGCATTGGTTTCCGAAACAAGTTAATCTTTCTTTTCTCATCCTTCTAAACCCCGAACCGATACAGCGATGCTTTTGTAGCCGGCATGAGGGCCGTTTGTGTTGTGACAGAGCTGCTCGGCACAGTTATTGGGCCTTTCTTGGAAGGCAAGATCGGGCTTGTTCGAGCTGGAACGTGGTCATTGTGGGCAGAGCTCTTGCCCCTTTCTCTACCAGTTGTAGCGCTCTTCACTGTTGGGACACAACATCACCCTCCTCCCTGGAACACAGCGATATTGTTTACAGGTCTTGCTCTTTCACGTGTGGGACTCTGGAGCTTCGACTTGTGCCAGCTCGCGCAGGGTAAGTGTGCATGGCTTTCTTTTCACACTTGGTGACAATCACTGACACACGATATATCCTGAAGTGCAAACGTCGCTGAGTGCTCACCCCCGCCGCAATGCCCTGCAAGGACTGCAATTCAGCCTACAAAATGCGTTTGATCTCGTGAGTGAGCTCAGCGGAAGCTTGATAGTGTTGTTACTCATCTCCCTTTGCCTGATATCCAGGGACATTACGGCCTTACACTTGGGTGGAACCGACCAGATCAATTCAAGTACGCTGCAGCCGCTTCATTCGGCGCCGTTGGGGCGGCGACCTTTGTCTATGTCGCCTTCTATGCACGCAGACTTCGCGGCCATGTGCTTCACCTAGAAACGATGGAGAGGCTCCTTCCCAGAAAAACACAATGAAGTATCCATCATTTAACATCTGCAGAACGGATGCGAACATGGCCCAAAGGTCCAGAGAAAGTACGGTGCGTGGGAAGTATCGGGGCTATTGAGAAAGAACATCCTTCAAGATTCCTACCCTTGCGAGTCCATCTTCTGTGCTGCCAGGCGCGAGCATAGCGCCGGAAGACTGAGCTTCCGCTACGACACTGCTCTCTTCCGGAGCGGGGACGATAATAAAGGTTCCGGCATGGCTTGCCTCGCGAGCCAGCGTAACAGGAGCAGTGGAGCGGGCATCAGCAAAGGTAGTGGCGTCCGTGTGAATGCTCGACGTGCGTGTGGTGCCGGGAAGGTGGAGAGAAAGCCGATGGGAGAAGTGGCTCGTACCACGGCTCATGCTGGTGCTCGTTCGCGCCTTTGCCTCGGTATCGACTTCGTCCTTTTGCGCCTCAAGATCAACCTCTTTCGCTCCTGCGTCTCCCCCCGCCGCTGCGAGAGCTTGCTCCAATGCCGACGCAGGAATCTGCACAGCTGTCTCGCCAGACCCTAGCTGGATCACCGTTGGCTTTCCGCCAGCTTTGCGTGTACGCCTTGCAGTAGAGACCGAGCGCGCGCGGCCGTACATGGCGGCCGGGATGGAAACTGCGCCAGGTCCGTCTTGAGAATCCGCATCTTGTCCCATCACCGCCTTGGAATAATCGCAAGCCTGTCAGGCGCGTAGAAAATAAAGCATTAGCGCAAGAAGCTTTCCTTCTGAAGGAACTGTTGCTTACCTTAAGGATGATATAGAATGCGAGAGCAAAGAGAGAGCCTAGAAAAGGGCCGACGTAGTATACGTAGTGATAATTCGGAAACGAGCGCTGAATCACCGAGGGGCCCAGTGCGCGTGCCGGATTCATCGCTGCGCCTGTCCACAGCGCGCCGAACAGATGACACACGAAAAGCGTTAGTCCGATGCTGTAGAGCAAAGTTAGCGAGAGTGATCAGTTGTGGATGAATTCATCTGCAGAAGCTTTCCACTTACCCGACTGGAGCGAGGTACGTGGCGCGGTGTTTCTCCGCAGCAAGCATCAGTACGCTGAACACTAGAGCGGCAGTGAGGATGGCCTCCAAGAAGATGCCCTGCGTAACAGATACGCCCGGTGCAAGCGTTGTGATATTACTGTGGCCGAAGGTGGGTGTGAGTGCCTCAACCATACCGTTGGCCGCAATGCCGCCTGCGAATTGTGCGATGACGAGTAAAATGCAGCGCCTCCAAGGCAAAGCACCGGCCAAGAGAAGAGCCAGGGAGATAGCAGGGTTGAAAAGCGAGCCGGAGACACGGAAGAACATCCATGCGACGACAGTCAAGCTGCATGGCCAATTGTGTCGTAGGAGGAAAGAATGCACCATGTCAGTCAATCTATGCCGATCCTTACAATTCAGACAAGTGATGCATGGATTCACCTGAGGCCAAAGCTCAGACTGACGTATACCAACGTCTGGGAATCCACCAATGCGATGGGGCTGCTCGACGCTGCCGAGACTGCATTGGCAGTCATCGATGCCGTCTTGGCTCCGCCCTCAGCCAAGAAGAGGAAGAGGAAGGTGCCGACAAATTCGCCGATGCAAGCAACAAGATCATGTGAGAGAGTCATTTTTAAAAAGGGGGGTTGGTTTTAATTTTTTGATGTGCGTGTTCCAAATGAGTGTCGATTTAGTAGAGAGCGTGAGTCAGTGTGAGGCATTGACGGAGGAAAGATGGTGGATTTAAAGCGGCGATGGGTGGCAGGGGATCCCGATGGGAAAGAAGAATTACGAGTAAGTCGGTTTCTTATACAATAGAGCCTAAGCACAGACTTGACATATCCAAAGGTGCAACTTGCAATATCACAAAAGCTGGTATGACCTGACGGAGATTGTAAGTTCAACATCTTTGCTTCAGATTCAGGAACGCTCAGCGCCAATCGAAAAGAAAGCCTGCGAACATTCAAAGTCAAGTACAGGCGTGCGGAGAGTGTCAAGGTCTGCCCGAGGGGGAGGGGGGGAAAGGAAACCCTTGTTAGAGACTTGATACTTGGGGCTGATGTGTGAGATGTTTGATGCATGTGGGGGTAGGGTATGGTCTCGGTGGGCAGTACTCTTTGTTCCAACGGGTTTCGACCGCAACGGTCGGGGGTGTGATAGGCGGCCAAATTTGTGGAGGTTGGAGCTTTTTTCAGCTGTCGCCTGTCGGAGACCTGCCAGGTGCTCATGATCGATTCCCGGGAAAGCAGGTACGGCCCTGCGATATTCACCGGCTTGGGTCGCATGCTCCATGGGGAAAGTTGATGACGGCACAGAGGAGTTGAGTAGGTGAGAATATGATGAGAGCTTTCCGTCGTTCGCAACAGGTCGTCTCATCTGTTTTTGTGACCATGCCTTCAGGTGTGTTTTGTGTTGTTCCGGTCTCAAAGACACGACGCAAGTCGCGCTTCGGCGCGGTGCGCGTGCTGTCGTTGACACTAGTCTCTCTCGGCCGAGACATACCAACTCTCGGCACCAGCCATCCTCTGCTCTCTTCGCTCGGACCTCTGTTTCATCACATCAGTCCTACGTAGTCACAAAGCGCGTGCTATCGGCCATCCTAGGTCACCACTTATCCAACATTTGATTCTGAGCATCTGGAGGGGGTTGAAACTTGGTGGTAGAGCGGATGACGAAAAAGGACCCGCAGGCCAAGTCGCACCAGCTCTTCGATCTTTCTGTCTGAAGATCATCATCTAAGTCTCCCGTTATCCGAAACCGAACGGCTGAAGGGGACGAAGCGATGACGAAAACGCTTGTCCTACTTGTCAGCACTGGGCTCTTGCTGGTGCGTCTCTCGATTTGTCAAGTGCTATGAATATGCTCTTCTGAATGGTTTACGCGATCGAATTGACTATTTTGATCAGGCGCAGGTCATAAGCGCACAAGACGGCGCACCCTCGCCCACGCTAGCGAAGAGACGGGCGATGTACATGTGCAAGTGCACGTGCTTTTCCACCAACTCGACCGTTATTCCTCTCTTCGCTCCGATCGACCCAGACAAGCCATGCTTGACGTGCTCACGCAAGTTTTGCTTGGATCAAGGACTGGAGATCTGCAAGGGCGCCAAGCTAGAGACTCCCGATCACGACACGGGCACAGGATACGAGGGAGACGTGTGGGCGAGGTGTTTCCGTTAGTGCTTGTGCAATTATTTTGCGCGTCGGCCGTGGTTCTGACGTCCCTTGTCTATATTTTCTTCTATGTTGCCTCAGAGCGTGGTTCTTACAAGGACCAAACTGTCGTCTCTTTCTATATCTTGGCGATTCTCGGGTTGCTTGCTTACGCATTGGTCAGGTCAAGGCTTTCAGGCTGGATGCAGGTGAGTGATTGACTCTCAGCGATCCTCACACGATGACAATGCACAATTGCTGAAGAATATTTGACTTTCTCCGGCAGACATACCGCGAAGAAGGTCCTGCAGGCGTCTATCGAGCAGTAGCCAAGGCGCCTTGGACGACGAGCACACGTAGCTGAAGAGCTGCTTCCGCAGCACCCATTCCATGCAGGATGCGCTCATACAGCACTCCGCGGTCGTCTATCGCGCGATCAGCAGATTGCATATTCTGCCGATATCAACGGGTCTCCTTGTTGCGCCCGGTGGACATCCAATGGCCCGCTTCTGGAATGGATGCTGGGCACCTCCACGGGTATTTGCAAGCGAATGCCTGGCATATCGTGCCCACACCCGTGCCGACGAAGTTCTAGGTGCATCAACCACAAGGGATAACGCATCGCTACCCTCGCCCTTGGAGCAGAGCTGTCACATCTAGCTCAGCTGCGCTAGGACTGCTCGTTGCTGGCACTTCGACATCGTCCAAATTGCCTGTTAAGAGGGAGGCGTCGTGCACGGCTCTAGATTCTTCTGGAGCGACCCGACCAGATTCCTTTCGCGTTATGGTGCTTTCTAGAGGGAGCAGGTAAGACCATGTACATTCGCTGCCTGGTCCTCCCCTCGTTATGCGTCCTCTCGCTTCGCACAAGAGTGCGTCCAGGAAGAAGCAATGGGTATAGTTGATGCCGAGCACACAACTGCATGCACAGGAACTGAAGCGCGTTGTATGATGCTGCTTGTGAATATTCCCAGCATCTTTGGCTTAAGTTGGATCTGCAATGGCTCTCTGACCATGAGAGCGGCAGTTGTGTGATAGGCTTACTCTGAGCGAGTGGTCTTATTTGACGAGCAAAACACATCCCAAAGCTTGATGAATGTTCAATGGCCTCCCGCACCTGGCTTGAGTTAGGGTTAAAGCGCAAATAAAGATTGTGAGTGATACGATGTCTCATCTGTGGAGCAAGCAGCACTCTCAACTGCAGGCAGCAGAACTGTCTGAAGACGAGAGAGGCACAATCGCCTCCACCGCAGCCTGGCCAGAACACACATGCTTGGCAACAACACGCCCATCCCGACGATTGGGGAGGTGTCGTTCATGCCGTCGTGGTTGCGTGTGCAGGACGGCCAGTGGAGTGAGTCGTACTGTGTTCGACTGCCCCGCCTATTAGCATTTTAGTGTTCATTGCACTCCTGCTCCGGTCGCAGTGCTCCTCGCAGGTCACCCTTGTGTGTGCATCCCACCACTGCCTTCAATACCACGTTATCACTTCAGAGGGTCACGCCCTGTTGTACTTATATCGGCGCCGGTCTGCTTGCTGGAGAGAGCTGCAGCCCGGAACGGGCGGCCTACACTTCCCCTTACCTTTGCTTCATCAACCATATCAGCCAGCACAAGCGCCTGCGCGCAACGGCGAGGCTCGTGCGTTCTCCAGCATGGACAACCTTGAAGGCGCGTCGCCGCAGTACATCCGCCTCTCGCGCACCATCGCCATCCTCGCAAAGTCGGCCGCACAAGTGCACCGGCTCGCGATCATCCGATGCATCCAAGAAGCCGGCTTCTCTATCCTCGAGGAACGCATGGAGGAGTGGAGGCATCCGGACGATGAAGACTTTCTCAGCGAGTTCCTTGCTTGCGAGGCAGACGAGCGCAAGTGGGTCAATCGTCTGACTGGATGCCCTATCTACGTCATGGTACTTGAGCGCAAGAGCGCGCCAGCGATGTGGCTCGACATGATTGGTCTCGGGCAGCGAGAACAAGTTGGCGCGATGGATGCACGGGACTCCGTTACCCCACGTTCAGATGGGCTGCGCGCGATGTACGGTACCGAATGCTTCTACGGATCGCCTTCTCTTGTGGGTGCGGAGCGCCAGATTGCCATCTGCTTCCCCGAGCTTTCTGATGGCTACGTCGTAGCGGATCCGTTCGCACCCAGCGACACCGTTCTCGTGCAGGCGAACGACGTGCTGTACGATGAAGACGGGCGTGCATTCGACGCCAACAACGGCGAGGAGCTCGATCTACAAGAAGAGATATCTCTGCCTCAGATTGAAAACTCGATGTACAGAAGTGGCTCCGGGTCACAAGGAACCAACTCCGCTGGCATCAGCCCTCCCAAAGTCTTTCGTGCGCGACCGATCCCATCTAGCGTTGCCAAGCCATCGATCCAGCCACGCATGTCGCGAGCCGCAGCGTTGCGCATGGGCATCGAGCTCCCTGCTGTGCCGAGGCGTGACGCGAGCAGCTCATCCACCTCGTCGTCTTTGGGGCCCGTGGGCATCTCCGGTTTCCCCAGGGCGGATGTAGCATCGCCCAAGTCCCTCGTCAAGCCAACCGTGGCGCCGCGCATGAACAAAGCCGTCGCAGCTCGCCTCGGCGCCTTGGCGGGTGGAGCAGAGGCGACGGCATACAGCACGCCTCCGCCGGTCTCTGCTCGTGAGCGCGTTGCAGTCGATTTCAGCAGCACGCCCGGCCACAAGCGCGCGAGCAGCGGGATCAAACTGGCCAGCTTGCAGACTCCGACGATCACCCCCCGGACAAACAAGGCTGCTGCCGCTCGCCTTAGTGGGTCTACTCCTTCTGTCTCGACACCCACTGGCGGTAACAGTGTCAAGTCGACACCTCCTTCGGCCTTCTCGCCTTTACCAAGGACGGGGAGCATGAACAGGACCGTCAGCTCGTCGCAGTGCAGCGCTGGGCCAAGGGAGCGTAGGGAGGTCGACTTTTCGAATGTGAGAGCATTCATCAGAATTTCAATTCAGGTTAAACGCTGACGAGCCGAGGGCGGTGTATGCGATGATCCCTCTTTCCCACATGCAGACACCGGGCCATAAGCGGACCGTTTCTGCGGCCGCTCGACCAGCGTCTCTGCGCGCGCCATCCATCGAGCCTCGCCTCAACAAGGCCGCAGCGGCACGGACTGGCCGCCCACAGAGCTCCGCCGGCCTCCCAGCAGGACGGGATGGAGCGAACGGCAATGTCAAGGAGAATGCTTCTCCTGCACGCAACAGTACATCGATGAGGGGCAGGGTTGTGGACTTCTCCAATACCCTGGGGCACAGGCGGTCGTCCATCTCGAACATGCCACCCCTCGCATCGCTTAAAGCACCGTCTATCGCACCGTGGTCGAATGCTGCTGCTGCAGTGCGCGCACGGCCGCCAAGCAGAAGCAGCTCGGCGCTTGGCCATCACGCTCGCCAGCAACAGCGCTCCGGGTCGACGCTTGGGTTTGCTAGCAGTGGTGGCCCCGCAGCCATGCGCACCGGCGGTTCTAGCATCGATGCCGCCACTTCTGCTGCGGTGAATAGATCGATTCGCTCCAAATTCCCACCGTCGTCGTATCGCCATTCCATGATGAGCTTCCCTTCGCAGCCGGTCTCGCGCGGGTGACGTTCAGCAAGATACTTCTTTCTCTCCGAGCTGAATAGCCTCTTCTTGGTCGAGCCTTCTTTCGCCTTTTGATCGTCTTCGCAGCACGTTATACGCAGCTTTCGTTTGTTTCCCCTCGGATCTTTGCGCCTGGGCTGGATCCCAGGACTCCCGATTGCAGTTCAGATTTGGCGTGTGCATGTTTATCTGTTCACTCTTATTCTCTCGTCTACGTCGCAGTAGTGCAGCTGTCAATATATGTATTGTTTTTATAGGACATTTTATGTGCTGAAGGGGAAAGAGAAGCCCCGACGCCGGGTGTGTGGATGTGCGCCCGCACAACGAGCCCGAATCGCAATGGTGTTTCTGATGCCAAGTCAGGTAGATACGGGGGCGTTTTAGTCATGTTACTTCATCTTCCACCTTGTCTCGGTAGGAGCTCATGAGCTCCCGCGCATCACACGCCGCTCTTCATGAGAACGGTGCGTTCGCGGAGGTGGATGGGTGCGTATTGAGTATTGCGGGACTTGGGCGCCGTCATCATTAGGGCCATCCTGTGGGAGCAGGATGCGAGGGCGACACACGCACTGGCAGAAACCGGGGCATGCCATCCAGGAAGAGACGGTAGCCAAAGCCGCACCAGCCAATTTCCAGACTGGAAGAATGAGCAGCGTTGGCAACCTTGTCTTCTGAGAGGCAGGTCCCGGCTCGAATTGCTTTCCCGTTGCATTCAAAACCTAAGCTCAACTCAAAGCTGGCATTCCTGAAAAGCTGACTGCGGTAAGAAATGTATGCTCGCCTTCTTGCAACACAGCGCCGAAACAGGTGACATGCTGTGTCACAATATGTAATAGGGATGCTTTGCAAGGGATGTACCCCGCTTACTCTCCCCTGGTTTTCCCGGATCGAAGCGCGCATTGAAAGGCGCGTTCTCCTGAATAGCCAGGGTACGAAAATTTAGAAAATGATGCTGATGTTGTGATTAGAGATAGGTCTAGCTTTCAAGCGCAACATTGACACCTAAGCGCGCAACTCCGGGAGACATCAATGCCTTTGGGGAGGGCAGTAAGCGAATGGGGCTTACGCGGCAATGTCGGTACGAAAGCTGCTCTTCGTCTACGACTAAGCTGATCACTGAGATATCGCCTGCATGATCTCAGGGTTGACCATGTCAGCTTTCTAGGTGGTGCCAACGTTTTGGCCAACGTCCACCGACCAAAGACATTCGGGGGCGCGAATGCAAGAGTTGCATGGGGTTCAAAGGTAGAGGAAGTTTGGAAGGTGAGAAGAAGACGAAGATAGTCTTCCGGCTCAGTTAAAAAGGAAATTTCTCTTCCTGATTCTCGGCATACGGATCTGATTCTGACATTTGATTATGCAACCCTACTTTATGTGGAGACCGCTTGGGCCACAGGACAACCCTTGTGCGAGCAAGCGCACAAGAGGACAGCCACCACGGCATGTGAGGAACCACACGGTCCACGACCTAACGGCCAAGAGCTACCACCACGTCTTACTCATACGTGCACCCGCATGGCTTATGTGCACGTCCTGTTTTGGTCCCCTACCTCGGCGTGGTTGGGTAGGAGCTGGCCCAGTGTAAGCTGTAAGCGCACGATCCATACAAGCTGACGTGCTGCGTCACTTTTTGGTGAGGTGGCTGTCGAAGCTCATGCTACAGGACCGCGCGAATGCGCTCGCGTTAGCGCCCTCGGCTACACCCCAGCTCATCATCAGTGGATCGACGCCCAAGGTTGCGATAGCCTGAAGTCAAAATGCCACTCAATGGAGCTAGTGCCGTCAGCATGACGGGCCTCGCAGCACTTGCTGCGCAGCAGAATGAGACGCTCGCCCGAATATTCGCAAATATTCGAAGCAGGTATGTTCGCTCGGCGCGAGTGGAAAGCGTTACATCGCGGCACGCAAGTGGCCAGAACTTTGATTGGGCTGACTCGTTTGAGCTACAGAGACGAGAAGGGCCGATCAGAAGCAGGCAAAGAGTTGGGGCAGCATGTGAGGGATCTCTTCGAGCTTCGCCTCCTGATGTAGTTCGAATATTGACATCCATCTGCTCCTCACGGGACAGGTCACCTCCCTTATGACCGAGTTACGAGGCGATGCACTTTCCGTCTTTAGCAATGATCTCAATCGACGCATCTTCGAGCTGACCCACAGCCCCCACAGCCATGAAAAACTCGGTGGTATCGTCGCCATCGGTGAGTTTGGTGGATTGTAGTATGCTCACACCCCGCGTGTCCTCTCACACACACCCCTTTGCCATCTCAGAGGCGCTCATCGATCTCGAAAGTGAAGATAACAGCGCTCGGCTATACAGATTCTATCAATACCTCAAGCCGAATTTGCCTTGCAATGATGCGGTTGTCATGGTTGCCGCCGCCAAAGCCCTCGGTGAGTTCCTTCTACGATGATGTAAAGTATGACGCGAAGTTGACTTGATATCGATGGCTGGTAGGCCGGGTCTCAAAATTTGGAGGCCACTCCTTGGGTGATCAATTCATCGAGTTCGAGGTACTGCGTGCCTTGGATTTTCTGCAAGGCGGAGATCGCGACCGCAACGAATCTGCACGATATGCCGCGGTTCTCATCATCCGGGAAATGGCAAAGAATGTGCCGCATCTCTTCCACGTCTACGTTAGCCGATGCCTGGATCGGATATGGGTCGCCCTGAGGGATGCAAGAGTACTGGTTCGGGAAGGAGCGGCGGAGGCATTAGGCGCCTGCCTGCAGATCATCGCCCAGCGCGAAAAGCAAATGGGCACACAGGCGTACGAGATGATCTACGAGGAGGCAGAACGTGGCTTGAAGATGGCGCCAACCGAAGTGATCCACGGCTCGCTGCTGGCCATCCAAGAGTTGCTGCAGCATTCCAAAATCTTCATGCGATCACGCTTCCATCGAGCATGCGAGATGATCTTCCGTCTCTACAAGCACCGCGACCTTCTTATCAGACGTACCATCACGAGTCTTGTCCCCGTCCTAGCCAACTATGATCCTCAGTATTTTGCCGACAAGCTTCTCGGATCTGTCATGGCCATGTTCACGGACCAGCTGCGCAAGGAGAAGGAGCGCACGCCACGCGAAGTCAACGCGCAGACATTCGAGGCTATGGGTCTCGTCACGGCGGCGATGGGGAGCAGGATGAAGTCGTACATCGAGCAGATCCTCGCTTGCGTCAAAGAGGGCTTGCAAAATCGCGGCAAGAAGAATTCAACGCCCGAGGGCCCTATCTTTATCTGCATCGGCTATCTCGCTACAGCCGTGGGGCCGCATCTCACCAAGTACATGCACGAGCTTCTGGACTTAATGTTCGCCTGCGGACTCAGCACGGCTCTTGTGCAAGCTTTGGAGCGGCTCGTCATATCCGTGCCTCCGCTGCTTAGGAATGTTCAAAGTGAGTTAAGGCTTTCGAGCAAATTCGCGTTGCTCCACTCCACTGACCCAATGCATGTTCGTAACAGACCGCTTATTGGACCTGCTTTCCATGACTCTCATCGGAGAACCCTATCGCCCGCTTGGAGCGCCCACTTCCCAGCGAGCGTTCGGATTAAGCGGCAAGGACCCCGGGGTGCTGACAAAGCCAACGACCGAGAAGAATGTGGACACGATCACCGTCGCCATCCGGACACTTGGTGAATTCGACTTCAGCGGGCATATCCTCAGCGAGTTTGTTCGCAATTGCACCCTGCCGTATCTCGAAGACGACTACGCGGAAATTCGACGTGCAGCTGCAGTCACCTGTGCGCACTTGTTCGTGCAGGATCCAATCTGCCAGCAGACGAGCATGCACGCCATCGAGGTCGTGAATGATGTGTTAGACAAGCTCATGACTGTCGCCATCGCCGACCCCGTCGCATCCTTACGCGTCACTGTCTTGGGGGCCCTCGATGAGCATTTCGACAGACATCTGGCACAGTCCGAATACGTTCGCTCGCTCTTCATTGCGTTGAACGACGAAGAGTTTGCCGTGCGGGAGATGGCCATCGTCATCATCGGCCGCTTGGCAAAGCACAATCCAGCCTATGTCATGCCCTCGCTGCGGAAATCGCTCATTCAGCTCCTCACCGAGCTGGAATACGCGAATCAGAGCCGCTGCAAAGAAGAAGCTGCAAAACTGCTCACAGAAGTCGTTAAGGCGTCGCAAAAGCTCATCAAATCGTATGCCTTGCCCATGCTGGAGGTGCTACTGCCCAAGGCCAAGGATCAGACGCCCGCTGTCGCAGCGCGCGTGATTGAATGCCTGGGAGAATTGGCAAAGATCGGCGGGGAGGATCTGTCGCCGCATGTGGAACAGCTCGTGCGGCTTGCCGTTGAGCAGCTGTCATCGACAACTGGGCAGGGATTGCAGTTGAAGCGTGACGCTGCACTTCGGACCCTGGGGTTGGTTGCTTCCAATACAGGCCATGTGGTCAAGCCATACCTAGACCATCGCGGCCTCCTCAGCACGATCGTCAAAATAATGAAGAACGAGCAGATGCCAGCTGTCCGGCGCGAGACGATTCGAGTGATGGGTATCCTTGGAGCATTGGACCCGTACCGATACAAGCTACTTGAGAAGTCTCCAGATGAGTCTGGAAGCCGTATTGTGGAGAATGGCGGTACGGATCTGTTCGAGCTATCGATGGCCATTGGCACCTCGTCGGAGGACTACTTCCAGAACGTTGCGATCAATGCGCTGATCAACATCCTTAAGGACCAGTCTCTTTCCACGCACCACCACGCCGTCATTGAAGCGGTAATGTATATGTTCAAGACGCAAGGTCTCAAGTGTGTTGCCTTCCTGCCACAGGTGAGTTCACAGCCGTGTAAGCACAGGAAGGGTGCTGAACCCTCGCCTATCTTTAGATCGTCCCTGCTTTCCTGCAAGTCATCCGGACTTGTAGTACCGGCCTAGCGGAGTTCTATTACCAACAACTTGCGATTCTGATATCCATCATCAAGCAGCACGTCCGAAATTACTTGAAGGATATCTTTGCTCTCGTGCAAGAGAATTGGAACCCAAATTCGAGCATTCAGTTGACGATCGTTTCGCTTGTGGAGGCCGTCGCCAAGGCGCTTGAAGGAGAATTCAAGAGCTACCTTCCTGTTCTCCTGCCCAACATGCTGCAGACACTCGACGGGGAGATCACGCCCAAACGGCAGCCGACGCTATTGCGCATTTTGCACGCATTTTATGTCTTCGGTTCGAGCATTGAAGAGTACATGCATCTTGTCCTTCCGGTCATGGTCAAGATGTTCGAGCGAGCCGACGCATCTACGGTCCTCCGTCGAGCGGCGATCGTCACCGTAGGGCAGCTTTCGCGCAAAGTCAATTTCTGCGACCATGCGTCCCGAGTCATTCATCCGCTCATTCGCGTTCTCAACGCCGGAGGACAGGAAGTGCGGAGCGCAGCGCTGGACACTCTTGCCGCTCTCGTCATCCAGCTCGGACCCGCCTATGCAATCTTTGTCCCCGTCGTCGACAAGGTCCTCGTCCAGAATGGTATTCGGCATAGTGTTTATGATCAACTGGTGGCGAAGCTGCTGAATGGCGAACGTTTCCCCAAGGAGTTGATTCCTGGTGCTGGAGCCCTGGACGACAAGGCGGAAGAGGCACCACTGGCCGAGTCTTCCAAGATGACGGTCAATCAGCAACACTTGAAGCAAGCCTGGGACACTTCCCGCATCTCAACGCCGGACGACTGGAGAGAATGGCTGCGCCGCATGGCAGTCGAGTTCATGCGCGAGTCCCCGTCTCATGCATTGCGAGCGTGTCGCAGTCTAGCTGATGTCTATCAGCCGCTCGCACACGAGCTTTTCAACGCCGCCTTTGTGTCATGTTGGACAGAGCTCTACGAAAAGTACCAAGAGGATCTTGTCCGGGCAATCGAGGCTGCATTCGATGCACCAGAGATCCCAGACCAGGTGGTGCACATGCTCCTCAACTTGGCTGAATTCATGGAGCACGATGACAAGGCCCTCCCGATCAATATCCGCCTGCTTGGTGACCGCGCCTACAAGTTTCACTCGTACGCAAAGGCTCTGCATTACAAGGAAGCTGAGTTTCTCAGTGAAACCTCACCGCAAATTATTGAGTCTCTCATCGATATCAATACAAAGTTAAGGCAGTCTGATGCCGCGTTCGGGGCGCTCACCTATGCAAGAGAGCACATGGACATCACGCATCATGAAGAGTGGTACGAGAAGCTACACCGATGGGAGGAAGCGCTTGCTGCGTATGATCGCCGGTCACAATCCGATCCGGACTCGATGGATACTGCCTTTGGACGCATGCGGTGCTTGCATGCCCTTGGCGAGTGGGAGCATCTGGCTGACGTCGTTCAGCAAAAGTGGGTCGACGCCACTTCCGAAGACAGAAGGCAGATGGCGCCATTAGCAGCTGCAGCAGCGTGGTCCATGGGAGAATGGGATTTGATGGACGAGTTCATTGCTGCCATGCGGTCGGATTCATCGGAACGCTCCTTCTTCCGCGCGATCCTCTACGTGCATCGATCACAGCGGGCGCAGGCGAGCAAAAACATTGGCCGGGCGCGAGACTCATTGGATCAAGAACTCACAACCCTCATCAGCGAGAGCTACACACGCGCCTACGACCTTATGGTTCGCACGCAGATGCTCTCGGAATTGGAGGAAGCTCTCTCCTACAAGCTAGACTATCGGGACCAGCCTGATCGTCAAGCAACGATCCGCAGCACCTGGATGAAGCGCTTGAAGGGTTGTCAGCCAGAAGTCGAGGTCTGGCAACGGATTCTCTCAGTGCGAAGCGTCGTCCTCACCCCAGCAGACGATACAGAAACTTGGATCAAGTTTGCCAACCTTTGCCGGAAGTCAGGTCGCATGGTTCTCGCAGAGAAGACCCTCAATTCCCTCCTTGGCCCCGACACGCTGGTCTCTGATCCAAGGTCAGCAACGGGTCCAAAGGCGCCACCGCCAGTCATCTATGCACATTTGAAGTTCATGTGGGCAAGCGGCGCGCGCGTGGAGAGTTTGAATTACCTGAGGGACTTCACAGTCAACCTCTCCGAAGACCTCGGCCTGAATGGCACCGAGAATGGGAACTTGAGCATGCAGAATTGGCACTCTCACCCTCGCTTCGGCGAGTTCACTCGACTGCTCGCACGGTGCTACTTCAAGCAAGGTGAATGGCAAGCGGTGCTCAAAGAGGACTGGGTCACCGACGACACTTGCGATGTGATCGACTCTTATCGCCATGCGACGGAGCTTGACCGCAACTGGTACAAGGCATGGCACGCTTGGGCCTTGGCGAACTTTGACGTCATCTCCCATCACGAACGAAAGGGCGATGCAGCACAGCTGATGGCAGCGAGCATCGTGCCAGCGGTCCAAGGCTTCTTCCGCTCCATCGCTTTAGCACGGGGCAATGCTTTGCAAGATACCCTGCGCCTTCTCACACTATGGTTCAAGTACGGATATCAGGATCACGTCAGTGATGCAGTCAGCGAAGGCTTCAGCTCTGTCATCGTGGATACATGGCTCGAGGTCATTCCGCAGATTATCGCCCGCATCAACGCTCCCAGCCAAAAGGTCCGCAGACTCATTCATATTCTGCTGTCAGATGTCGGAGCTGCGCACCCCCAAGCTCTAGTGTACCCTCTGACCGTCGCTGCCAAGTCGCCCTCGCATGCCCGCATTCAAGCCGCCATGGGTGTGATGGACAACATCCGAGAGCATAGCCCGCTTCTCGTGGAACAAGCTTTGCTAGTATCCAACGAGCTGATTCGTGTGGCCATCTTATGGCACGAGCTATGGCATGAAGGCCTCGAAGAGGCTTCGCGTCTCTACTGGACCGAGCACAACATTGATGCAATGTTTGCCACGCTGGAACCCTTGCATGACATGCTCGAGAAGGGTCCGGAGACCTTACGAGAGACATCTTTCGCTCAAGCTCACGGGCGTGACCTCGCGGAGGCAAGGGAGTGCGGTCGTCGATACCGACAATATGGAGACATCAATGATCTTCACCAGGCTTGGGAATTATATTATCATGTCTTCAAGCGCATTTCCAAGCAGCTGCCAGCAACGAACTCTGTCCAGCTTGATCTGCAGTACGTCTCGCCAAAGCTTCTCGCTCTTCGCGACTTGGAGCTGGCTGCACCAGGCACATACGAGAGTGGACAGCCCATCGTGCGCATCACAAACTTTGAGCAGATCGTTCTGGTCATTTCTTCCAAGCAGCGACCAAGGCGAGTCAAGATGCGGGGCAGTGATGGTAGAACCTATCAGTACCTGCTCAAAGGTCATGAGGATCTTCGTCAAGACGAGAGGGTCATGCAGCTCTTTGGCTTGGTGAACACGCTTCTCTCTATTGATTCAGAGTCGTACAAGAGGCGAATCGGCATCCGGCGTTTCTCGGTTATCCCCCTATCTCCAAATACGGGAATGATCGGCTGGGTCGAGAACACGGACACGCTGCACGTGCTGATCAAGGAGTATAGGGAGCAGCACAAGATTCTGCTCAACATCGAGCATCGCCTGATGTTGCAGATGGCGCCTGACTATGACAACTTGACGTTGATGCAAAAGGTTGAAGTATTTGAGTACGCACTGGACAACACGCCGGGGCAAGACCTGTACCGCGTCCTCTGGCTCAAATCGCGCAGCTCGGAAGCCTGGCTGGAGCGGCGGACGGCGTACACGCGCTCGCTTGCGACTTCGTCGGTCGCCGGGTACATTCTGGGTCTGGGAGATCGTCATCCTAGCAATCTGCTGCTGGATCGTCTCACGGGAGAAGTCATTCACATTGACTTTGGTGACTGCTTCGAAGTCGCTTGTCACCGTCCCAAATTCCCAGAGAAGGTACCCTTCCGGCTGACGCGCATGCTCGTTAACGCGATGGAGGTAGGTGGCATCAAGGGCACGTTCAAAGTGACGACGGAGAACGTGATGCGTGTGCTGCGAGACAACAAGGAGAGTGTGCTGGCACTGCTGGAAGCCTTCGTGCACGACCCGCTGATCAGCTGGCGTCTCGTAACGGACGACACTACGGAGCAGAAGGCACCGGACGCGCACGAGCACGAGGCCTCCGGCGCCCACCGCCTCAACCAGCCGGGCGACATGCGCAACCAGCGCGCGCTCGAGGTCGTGCGGCGCATCCAGAACAAGCTCAATGGACGCGATTTCAATCCACAGGTCGCGCTCAGCGTGTCGGCGCAGATGGACCGGTTGGTGCACGAAGCGACGTCATTGTCGAACCTGTGCCAGTCATTCATTGGGTGGGTGAAAAGATCCTTCATCGCCGCTCGTTTGCAAAGCTGTGCTTGAATCGGACGTGTACGCTGATGTCTTTTCCCATCCCTCTCTCGTCTGATGTATAGATGGTGCGCCTTTTGGTGATATCGCACATCTGACACAACCGATGCCTATGCGTCCAGACACAAACTTGATACGTTTGGCGACGTCGCAGGTGCAACGAGACTCGCGCGTGCCCTTGTGGTGTATCATAACCTCGAAAGAGCACGAAGCCAGTCTCCTTTCCTTCTTTCAAGGCGCAGAACAAGTGTAGGTTTGCCCAGAGACAGATACATAGCGCGTGCGACTGCACGTATGCAATACAGGTTCGAGTCTGCATCCAAAAAGCCAAGAGCGGCGCCAGGAAACGACGCGAAACAGAATGTACAGCCTGGCTCGGCTCGACCTGACAGCCGCCCGCTGGGGTACGTGCGCACTGTTCGGTGGGCCGGACGCCCATCTACCTCCCTGCGCTCCATCTTTCGAGCGAAGACAAGCATTTGCGTTTGCAAGAGCATTCCAGTTGCCCCCAAGGCAAGGGGAAATTTTCTAAAAAAAAATCCTAGTTGAACAACTAGAGCCAAGCCGCAAAGGGGCGACAAGAGGAGCGCCACGCGGACTCGGATAGCGTCCGTGGGTGCGCGCGCTGCCGCTCTGCAAGGGGTGGGTGGGAATGTAGGAGTATGTCTGCTCGGATGGCAGCTCGGCTAGCGGCCGTAGGCTCGTGGAGGATGCTTGCTGCCGTTGCTGCTGATGGAGGGTATCCGGCTGGTACACATGCGAATTGAACGTGCCGTTGTATACTGTATGCATGCTGTTAGGCTTGGCTGGGGCGTCGGAGTTTCCCCTTCAATTTCGCCTGACTGAGTCCTGCTGATGATCTCTTTTGAAAATTGTTACTCTCACCCTGCCCTCTTTCCCCTTTTTATTAGTACTTCATTTCGGGGTTTTTTTCGACAAGTTTCTTTGCTGGCATGCGCTAGGCTGCGCACTTTTGGGGGCGCACATGCTACCATGCGGCCTAATGACCCTCCTCTTCGCCAGGGATGTGCTCGAGGGTGTCGAGCTCGGCGAGGGCCTGCTTGATGATGTCGACGCCGCGTAGCAGGTCCTGCTCGCTGATGACAAGCGGCGGCGCGAGGCGGATAATGTTCTGGTGCGTCGGCTTGGCGAGCAGGCCCTTGCTCTTGAGCAGCAGGCAGAGTTGCCATGCGGTGCGGCCACGTGTGCTCCTGCGCTCGTCGATGACGATCGCATTGAGAAGCCCGCGGCCGCGGACCAGCGCGAGCATCGGGTAGGCGCCCGACGCTTGCGCGGCGCGCAGCGCTCGGCGGAAGAGCTCGCCGAGGCGCTCGGCGCGCGCGCACATGTCCTCGTCGATGAGCGCGTCGAGTGCGGCGCTGGCAACGGCGCAGCCGAGCGGGTTGCCGCCGTACGTGCTTCCGTGCTCGCCAGGCTGGATGCACAGCATCACTTCGCGGTCTGCGAGGACGGCGCTGACGGGGTACACGCCGCCGCTGAGCGCCTTGCCAAGGGTGACAATGTCTGGGCGGATGCCGTCCCACTGGCAGGCGAGCATCTTGCCGGTGCGCCCGAGCCCGGTCTGGATCTCGTCGCAGATCATGAGGACGTTGTGCTTCTTGCAGGCGGCGGCGCAGCGTTTCAAGTAGTCCTCGGAGGGCACGATGATGCCCGCTTCGCCCTGGATCGGCTCGACAAGAAAGGCGGCGGTGTGCTTGCCGTGCTTTTCAAGCACTGCCTCGAGGTCCTCGGCGTGGTCGTAACGGATGGTGACACCCTCTTCGGACGAGGGGCCGACACCGTCAAGGAAAGGCCCAAACCCGTTGCGGCTCTCTGGGTCGGTGCTCATCGAGACGATGCCGAGGGTGCGGCCGTGGAAGTTTCCGCTGACACTCCAGATCTTTGCCTGGCCCTCTGGGATGCCCTTTTTGGTGTAGCCCCACTTGCGCGCCAGCTTGAGCGCCGTCTCGACCGCCTCGGCGCCCGTGTTCATAGGGAGAACCATGTCGTAGCCGAATAGCTTGGTCATCTTGGCGGCAAAAGGCGCAAACTGGGAGTTGTAGAAGGCGCGGCTGGACAGTGTCAGCTTTCCCACCTGGCGGACGAGGGCGGCGACGATGGCTGGGTGGCAGTGGCCCTGGTTGACAGCCGAGTAGGCGGAGAGAAAGTCGAGATACTGCCGCCCTTCGGGGTCCCACACGTGCGCGCCGGCTGCGCGGTCCAAGACGACGGGGAGGGGGTGGTAGCTGCGCAGCAAGAGGGGGGGTATTGGTGTCAGCCTCATCTTTTCATTGGTGCGTGGAGGAGCAGACACTCACTTATGCGCGCCATACTCGCTCTCCAGCTGCATGACCTCTGTGCTGGACATGATTGTGGCTGCGGCAGTGGTGGCGGCGGTAGCAGTTGCCAGCTTCGACGCGGTTCCAACTGCTGCTGCAAGTGCCAAGCTGGCGGCGTTGCTGCTGCTGTGATCTGTCAATGTGGGAGCGGGCACCATGGTCGCTGCTGCGTGAGAGAG